TTATAGGATAAATAGCCAAAGTTAAAATACTTTTGGTTTCAACAAAATAGTCACTGAGTACTCCTGCAAGATATTCACCATTGAAAGTATCAGAAATGTATGTATAACTAGGCAAACCAGGCAGTGTTCCCACTTGTACAGCTTATTTGTTGGACATGAGGAGACAGACAATGCCAGAACTCTCAGGGGAGGAGAAGGTGTTCATGTGCATCAGAAAGCCCACCTGGCGGCAGCATAATTAAGTGGCTTGTTTGGCAAGGGCCAGGTCTTACAGGACCTCATAACGTGGTGAAGCTGCATTTTGTTTTCACTGTTCTCTGAAATCATTCCAGAGTTTTAAGCGGATAAATGGTTGGATCTGCCTTTTGTTTGGATAATAAACTCAAAATTGTGTGTGCAGTTTAGGAGGACTGATGAGAAAACTTGCAGTCATACAGAAGAGAGAATGAAAATCTGCCTGTGGAATGTGGACAAGGTTTCATAAAGGAGTTGTGTCATACCAGCACCTTGGATGAGAGATTTGTTAGTCAGGAAAGAGTGTGTGTGCAACCAGAAATAACTGGATGCCAGGAGATAAAGGGCAAGTGGCAGGTTGAGAAGGCATATTGCACAGCTGTTGAACTCGGCATCTGTGCCTTCTGATAGTCTTACTAGGAATAAGAAGTTTTGATTCTGAGCTGTGGATAACTATGCAGGTGTTTTAATTGAAGATTCTGGATGCGGGCATGAAGAATGATGAGGTGAGGAGTTATGGTTAAGATGCACATCACTAATGCAGACCCTGGGAGGTCATGGTGATGGCTGAGTAGTTGAGTTGCTATGAACCATGTGTGAGATCTGGACTGAGCCCATGGCTCTTAGTATTGATCTGCCTCTGTCCAGAACATTACAGCATTTTAGGAGTTAACCTGACCACAAGAGCCCTTCCCTTTGTCTCTACCTCACAAACTGTCCAACCCTCTATTGCAGTGCCTCATATATCAAACACAAGGATGATCTGAGTGAACACTGTAGCTCAGCTGGTTAAGCTGCCACGTTGGATGCCTACAACCCATATTGCAGTGCCTGTATTGAGTTCTGGCTGACCTGCAGTACAGTATCCTCCCAATACATTCAAGAGGTAGTAAACTATGGCAGACCAGGTGTTTGAGTTCCTGCCACCCAGATGGAGAAACGCAGAGATCCTGGCTGCTGGCTTCAGCCAAGGACGTTTGGAAATTGAAATCACACTTGGAGGAGCTTTTCCTCTTTGTGTCATCTTGCCTTTTAAATGATTTTTTTCATGTACTTTTAAGATTCATTTTACTTGAAAGAGTTACAAAGAGAAAGGAAGAGACAGATCTTCCATGCAGTGATTCACTCCACAGGTGGTCACAGTGGCCAGAACTAAGGTGACCCAAAGCTAGGAGACTCAGAAAATAGCTTCTTCCAAGTCTCCCATGTGGTTGCTCGCTTCAGCAGTCCATATACCAACAGGTGAAGGTGCAACCCTCAGCTTGAGCCATCCTCAGCTGCTTTCCTTGTATATACACCAGCAGCCATAGGGGCGACCTGTGCTGCAGGTGCAGGATTAACATAGTAAACCACTGCATCAGTCCCTGATTTTTATTTTTTTATTTTTAAAGATATATTATTTTTACCAGAAAGGTAGATTTACAGAGAGGAGAGACAGAAACATTTTCGATCTGCTGGTTCACTTCCCAAGTGGCCGTAATAGCTGGAGCTGAGAATCTGAAGCCAGGAGCCACAGCTTCTTCCATGAACTCTCATACATGCAGGGTCCCAAAGGCTTCGGGCCATGCTCTACTGCTCTGCCAGGCCACAAGCAAGCACAAGGAGCTGGAAGGGAGGGGGAGCAGCCAGGATAGGAACTGATGATTGCAAGGCGAGGACTTCAGCCACTGGGCTATCTCGTCAGGTTCCCTGGTTTTTATTTTTAAAGGTAACTGCTACAAGTTGGACTAGGGAAGAGAAAACCAAGAATAGCTACAAAGACATGTATGAAATTAAGTTCTTTAGAAAATCCAAAATAAGTAATATAAAATTGATACAATACAAGAGTGTATAGTAGATAAAAGTTAAACCTCAATTCCACTGTAAGACACCTAAAGTCAGTGTTCTCTCAATGCATTTATTAAGCTGTTATGTATATTTTTAATTTTTTTATGATTTATTTGTTTTTATTGTAAAGTCAGATATACAGAGAGAAGGTGATACAGAGAGAAGGATCTTCCATCCGCTGGTTTACTCCCCAAGCAGCTGCAACAGCCAGAGCTGAGCCAATCTGAAGCCTGGAGCCTGAAGCTTTCTTCTCAGTCTCCCATGCAGGTGCAGGATCCCAAGACTTTGAGCTGTCCTTAACTGATTTCCCAGGTTACAGGCAGGGAGCTGGATGGGAGCTGGAGCAGCTGGCATTAGAACTGATGCCCATGAGGTTTAGGCACTAGGTTTCTGTGCCATATTCTGTTATGTTTATTTATACACATATATCTTGAGTCTACTATGGACTCACGTTATTACTAGTCTTCACAGTTTTCTTTTTTTGAGAGTACTGTCCTGATTTTTAACTGCTATTAAGCATTTTGTTGTTTGACTATAACAGAATTGGGCCCAGCAGCGTGGCCTAGTGGCTATAGTCCTCACCTTAAATGTGCCGGCATCCCAAATGGGCGCCGGTTCTAATCCCTGCAGCTCCACTTCCCATCCAGCTCCCTGCTTGTGGCCTGGGAAAGCAGTCAAGGACGGCCCAAAGCCTTGGGACCCTGCACCCATGTGGGAAACCTGGAAGAAGTTCCTGGCTCCTGGCTCAGGATCGGCACAGCACCAGTCGTTCTGCTCACTTGGGGAGTGAATCAGTGAACGGAAGATCTTCCTCTCTGTCTCTCCTCCTCTGTATATCTGACTTTGTAATAAAAATAAATAAATCTTTGAATATAACAGAATTAACTTAGTCACCAGCTAGTTGGTAAGACCTTTAGATTATGTCAGGATTTTCACACTTCTTGGCAATAATTAGAGATTTGTTCTTATTGTGTGTGCACTGCAAAATCACTGCCTCAGCACATGTGAGGTGGCATACATGGGGTTCAGGCTGTGACTTTGAAGAACCAGTTGTCCTGATCCCTTGGCGTGTTCTTTTTCACATCTTTCCCTGAGGAACCTACGGTGGAATGGTCCAGATGGTTAAAAATCTGCAGGCCACATACTAGGGGCAACAGTCAAAAGAATGGGGTTGTTACTAGATATTTTACTTAGTTGTAACTAGAAACTGCTCAGGTGTTAGGGAGGTTCTCAGAAGGAGATGGAGAAAGGCTTTCCTGTGGAGCTGTAGATTGAGTAGAGGGGTAAGCGAAGGGTAGAAATGAGAATTGCAACTGGTGTTGGTTGAAGTATCCTCTTAAGGAGCTGGGCTTGGTCATGGATGGATTTCAGAAAGCAGCGGGGTTTACCTGCTTGAAGACATTAAGGAGAAGGCTGAGGGCTGTGAAGGGCAGCATGTGAAGTACATTCAGCCCTCAGTCATTTCAGTGCTAGATTGCTGTGTATGGGGTGGAGGGAGGCAGAGGCAGCCTATGGTGTATTGCTGGGAAACCCAGCATGCCAAGTGCAGCTCATGAGAAATCCAGCCTCATGTGATTCTTAGCTAGTGCAGGTGGTGTGTGGGTACATGAGCCTGGGGAACAACAGGAATAGTAAGGATCTGATGTGGATTGTTCGTGTGGCTCCTAGTAGTGAGATGATCCATGGAAGGTGTTTCCGTAAGGGACCTGATGAGCTGCAGAGTCTGATGCTACTTGATTTTGGGGGCAGGAGGTGGGAGCGGGACTGAGACAGGCTTTTTTAGCTTTTATTTGGCAAATACTTACTGTCCATGTGTTTGGAATAGTCATGAGCAACTAAGAATTCCTCCCCTCACAGAGTTTACCTTGTAGTCAGGCAAATCACGTAAATATATTAGACATTGACAAATCATAAAGAGCAAGAAATCGGTACATGATGTGTCACTGTCATCATGGTTGACAATTTAGATCAGCTAGAAAAATAGAGATGATTTTGAAGAGTTGGAAGTAGAAGAGGGAAATAGCCAACCATGTACATCAGGTGAGGTTAAGAACATCCTAGGTACTACAAGGGCTCTGAGATAAAAGTATGTTGACTGATTTGAGGGATGGCAATCCAGGTAACTGGATTGAAGTAAGAGAAAAGGTGTTTTGAGATATGTTTAGCGAGATCTAGGTCTTCTAAAAACTGTAGACCATGGTATGGGTTGGTGGTTTTTTGTTTTTGTTTTTCTGAGAGCCAAGGGAAATCAGAGGGTTCAAGCTGACATTTGTCATGACTTAAGTGCTAATAGAGCCACTTCGGGTTGAGGATGCTATGGTGGAGAGTGAAGGAGAGATACCAAACGAAAAGGGAGTCTGTTGAAAAGACTAATGCGAGAAGTAACGATGGCTCCTACCAGATAGTAACAGGGAAAATATTGAGGGAACAGGTGTGAACAACTTATCAGAGGCTAGGGAACCAGTGAATGGTGGGCTTCAAGGAAATCATTGGGAAAAGGCTTCTAGGCAGGGAGTCTGAGCATCATGGTTACATTGGGGACAGTGTTGGGATCTGGTCTGCCCTGGGATTTACAGAGGGTTAGAATGGCATTCTTTAGTCTTTACAGAGGTCAAAGTTGGTGTCTGGGTCTGGACAACAGTGTTAGGACAAGATTTAGGGTGAGGACTAATTTTGGATCAAAGTTTTAGATAGAGATTACTATTGCCTTTTCGTGTCTTTCCATCAGAGTCTGTGGGATCAGCGTTGGTTTTACTACTGTTTTCCTGTGATGTTGAATTCTCCTTGGAGGGTGGATGGGTATGGGAAGTTTAAAAGCCTGCTCTTCCTTGAGGGTGGATACCGGCTCAACCATCCCTAAACGAAGCCTGCTGGCCCTGCTGGGAGTGTAGAATTTAGAGTTGGGATCCCAATGCCTGACCCAATTCTTTTCCCCCCAGATGGCTCGCTGTGTGACCTTGGTTCAGCTTTCGGTTTCCTGTGAACACCTCATTGACAAGGACGTCGGCTCCAAGTCTGACCCACTCTGCGTCCTTTTTCAGGATGTGGGAGGGGGCAGCTGGGCAGAGGTGAGTTGGACCACGGAGAGGTTACAAAGTTGGCAGTGGGGTGTTGCACTTGTTTTGGGTTGGAGGGTCTGCTGCAGGGTGCTTATTGGTTTCTGCCCACAGCTTGGCCGGACTGAGAGAGTACGGAATTGCTCAAGCCCTGAGTTCTCCAAGACTCTGCAGCTGGAGTACCACTTTGAGACTGTCCAGAAGCTACGCTTTGGAGTCTACGACATAGACAACAAGACACCAGAGCTGGGAGATGATGACTTTCTTGGTGGAGCTGAATGTTCGCTAGGACAGGTATGTGGGACCAGAATTGTGGATTCTCCCCACCCTGATAGGACTCTCTGTAAGAGCCCTGTCAGACCACTCAGCCTGCCTACAATTGGGGAGCAGGGGTCCACAGGATATGTGTCTGTCTGAGATTTTGAAGCCTCCTTCCTTGCTTTTCTCTAGATTGTGTCTAGCCAGTTGCTAACTCTGCCCTTGATGTTGAAGCCTGGAAAGCCTGCTGGGCGGGGAACCATAACGGTAAGGAAGAACCCAGCCAGGCTGGAGTGAGGGTTTAGATCAATAAAAAATTGACAAAGGGATGATTATCTCCCCTCCTAGGTCTCTGCTCAAGAACTCAAAGATGGTCGCGTAGTCACCATGGAGGTAGCGGCCAGAAATCTAGACAAGAAGGTTTGTGTTAGGAGACCCTGGGAATCCAAGAACTATGGAACCTGGGATAGTGTGTGGGAAATGGGTGGGACAGAAAGCCAGCATTGTTGTTTCTCTCTGAGTCTTGTAACCAGAGTATCTGTGGCATTGACAGGACTTTCTGGGAAAATCAGATCCATTCCTGGAATTCTTCCGCCAAGGTGATGGGAAGTGGCACCTGACATACAGATCAGAGGTGTGAGACCCCTGAGATTGCTGGGATGGAGTGGGAGAGGTTCTCTGGAGCCTGTGACTGCATTGCTTAGAACACAGGGAGAAAAAGACTGCAGGTATGGGTAAGGAGAGTGTGGCAGAGTGTCATGCTCAGGCCAGAGCTCACTGATGCCTTGACACTCAACTTCAGGTAATCAAGAACAATCTGAATCCTACATGGAAGCGCTTCTCAGTCCCACTTCAGCATTTCTGCGGCGGGGACCCCAGCACACCCATCCAAGTAAGGAGCTTGCCTCCCCAAGTAGACTGAGAAACAAAACAGTGTGGGGAGAGACATGTTCTCACCAGCCTCTTTGCACATACACCCCTTCCTCTCAGGTACGGTGCTCAGACTATGACAGTGATGGCTCACATGATCTCATTGGTACCTTCCACACCAGTTTGTCTGAACTGCAAAAGGTCCCGGTAAGTCCTGGCCCTGATCAGGGCTATTCAGTGGGCCTAGAATAGAAGGCTGCCACCTTCAGGAGATGGTGCATCGAGGGCAGCCTGATTGCTTTGCAGGTACTCGGATTTTCCTGGCCTAATTTTCTTCCTATCCTCGTTAGACTGAATTTGAATGCATCCACCCTGAGAAACAGCAAAAAAAGAAAAGCTACAAGAATTCTGGAACTATCTGTGTCAAAGTATGCCAGGTACGGCATTATCACATGTGACCGAGGTTTAATTCCACCATCCCAGACCCTTTCATCCAAGCTGTGACCCTGATTTTGTTCACAGGTGGAAACAGAGTACTCCTTCCTTGACTATGTGATGGGAGGCTGTCAGATCAGCTTTACTGTAAGTTGCATTACTGAGTGCGAGGGAGCAAGTGTTTGGCCTCAAGGTGACCTTCAGCTTGCTCCCTGCACTCCTCCAAGGTTGGTGTGGACTTCACTGGGTCCAATGGAGACCCCTCGTCACCTGACTCCCTGCACTACCTGAGTCCAACAGGGGTCAACGAGTACCTGACAGCACTGTGGAGCGTGGGCAGCGTGGTTCAGGACTATGACTCGTGAGTAACACCCTACGGATACTTCAACTTTTGGGCTCACAGTTCCCACACTGCCTCTTCACAATTTGCTCTTTTCCCACAGGGACAAGCTGTTCCCAGCCTTTGGATTTGGGGCCCAGGTGCCCCCTCACTGGCAGGTAAGCATTTTGTTCCTCTCCTGTTTTTGGCTTCAAGATCCTGATTTTTTTGGGAAGGCAATTAAATTATTTGCTGCCTGGTCCATTAACTGCAAGAGATACAGCATCACATCCTTGCAGGTGTGTGCACACCAAATGCTCACAGGGTGAAACAGCTGGTGTGGGGTCTTGCTTCAGGCCACAGTGCCCTTTCTCTGTGCAAAAATCATTTTCCTCCTTGCCCTCAGGTCTCACATGAATTTGCCTTGAATTTCAACCCCAGTAACCCCTATTGTGCAGGTAAGTTCCCTCATGCTTGTCATGTCAAGCAGATCTGTATACACCTAAAGAAAAGCCCATAGGAGCTACTGGGGTTGGGGAGCAGATGGCTATCTGCATTCTCCAGACAGGGGTATTTTAGGGGTGGGCCTGAGTGAGATCTTAATTGTATCACCTGCTAGCCATGTGACTAGAAGTGACTTGCTTAGCCTTGTGTGCTTTTCTTTCACAATAAGTGTCCACCAGGAGGGTTTAGGTAAGGCAGTGAACTTGGCTCACATCAAACCTGTCTAAAACAGGTTAGCTGCCATCCTAGCTAAAAGCTTGCAGGTACTTGTTCGGACATCAGTGGAATCCATGGTGCTTTTCTACAGGTGTTTCTTGGTTTTCGGGTTTTGTTTCTATTTAGCCAGAATTTCCAAAAAGCCTATGTGGCTCCCCATCACCCCCAGGTAGGCAACAAATGGAAGTGTGGGAAACTTGATCTGAAAATTAAATTTTTATTTTGTATTTTGACATAAAGCTGCAAGAATAGTCATGAAGGTTCATATTATTAGAGCTCAGAGTTCTTAAGATCAAGAAGATTGACTTTCATAGCCAAAATACCATTTTCCAATCCATACCATTTATTCAGATTTTTGCAGATGTCCTAATGTTCTTTAGACCCACTGCATTCACACACTGCATTCAGTTGCCCTCTGTTTTTCATCTGACGGAGTTCATGATGCTAACATTTTTTTAAAAAAGAGTACAGATCAGTCAGCATCTAGAATGTCCTTCAGTTTAGGGTTATCTGATGAATTGTCATGGTTAAATTCAAGTTAGATGTGTATCTTGGCAGGAAAACCATCTGTGTGATTCTGTGCATTCTCAGTGCTTCATATCAGGAGGTGCATCATATTGATTTGTCCTATTACTAGTCATGTTAACACTTGGTTAAGGTAGATTTCTGCCCTACACAAAGCTCATCATTCCCTTTGTTAAAAGTATCTTCTGGGAAGAAACTTAGAAACTATATAAATATAAATATCAGTTATCCTCTTGTTTTAACATCCATTGATGATCCTCAGCTGAATCATTTATTTCTGATGATTGCCTAAAGATTTTGTGAATCCTTTTACTTTGGTTGAGCTTTCCTTCTTAGTAATTATTTAATATCAATATGGATTGCTTTATTACATAGATTTTAAAAAGCTATAATCTGATGCTCAGATTGTCCTGGGTTTGTCCAGGGAATCCCCTTAATATAAGGCTTTAATACAGACTATAATTTGTGATGTCTTTTTTCAAGCCTTACTTTCCTTACATAGGATTACACACCCTTGACTGAGATACATCTAGCTTCCCAGAAGTGTCCGACTCAGATGGGGTAATTTCAAGCGGGACCTAAGAGGTTCAGGATTATACCATGTTTCTGCCCTGTCTCTTTCCCTGCAGGCATCCAGGGCATTGTGGATGCATACCGCCAGGCTCTGCCCCAAGTTCGTCTTTATGGCCCCACCAATTTTGCACCCATCATCAACCATGTGGCCAGATTTGCAGCTCAGGCTGCACAGCAGGGGACTGCCTCGGTGAGGCTCACAGACAGTAGTAGCAGTAGGGTGGTCAGGGGCTCCCCTGGGAACTTGTTAGTGTAGAAATGGGCAGCTAGGGGGTGTGGTCTGGGGGAGAAGTGGGAGGGAGGATCTGTCTCAGAACATGCATGGCCTTGCCTCCAGCAATACTTCGTGCTGTTGTTGCTGACGGACGGTGCTGTAACTGACGTCGATGCCACCTGTGAGGCAGTGGTGCGTGCCTCAAACCTGCCCATGTCAGTAATCATTGTGGGAGTGGGCAATGCTGACTTCGAGGCCATGGAGCAGCTGGATGCTGATGGTGGACCCCTGCGTACACGTTTTGGGGAGGCAGCTGCCCGCGACATAGTGCAGTTTGTGCCCTTCCGTCGATTCCAGAATGTGAGTAGGGGCAGGTATGGGGACGGTTGACCTGGCACTGCCCTGTGGCAGTGGGGTTGAGGTGCAGTGGGTGCTCCTCCTTCTGCCAGGCTGGTGCCAGATGATGGGGTTTGTATCCTTTCTGTCCTGGGTCTCCTCTGACCTTGTCTTTTCCTGGCAGGCCCCTCGGGAAGCGTTGGCGCAGACTGTGCTTGCAGAAGTGCCCACACAACTAGTTTCCTACTTCAAGGCCCGGGGTTGGCCTCCATTCAAGCCACTTCCTCCCCCAGGAAAGGGCCCTGCACAGACCCCTCCGCCCTAGATTTCCTTGGGGAGTAGGTGAGACCAATTATCTTCCCTGTGTCCCCAAGATCCTATCCCTGTATGCTGCCCCCAATGCTAGCTCATATTTGATACTTTTGTAATCTTGCACTTTATATTTGATACTTTTATACTTGCTGTGCTGTTGCTGCCCTGGAGCCTGACTCCTTGCCTCTGGTACCCCTTGTTCAATAAAGACAACTGGAGATCACTGCTTTGCTACCTGTATGTGTGTCTGTGTGTTTGTGCCACAAAGTTGAATACTAGGTTTCCAGATTTTTATCAACATCAATGTGATAATCAGTCTTGTATTACCTTTGGGGACATTTGTGTTACAGTCTTTGAAAAAGATTGACCCTATCTTACGAAAGGAGTTACTGCAAGAGTATTGAAAGCAAAAAAAAGTATGAAAGGCAAGACTTAAACTGGGTTGATGTTGTGGCATAACCCATTATGCCTGTAGTGGCAACATCCCATAGCAGCACTGGTTAAAAGTCCTGGCTGCTCCACTTCTGATCCAGCTCTCTGCTAACATGACTAGGAAAGCAGCAGATGGCAGCCCAATTGCTTGAGCCCCTGCACCTGTATAGGAGACCCAGAAGCAGCTCCTGGTACCTGCCTTTGGACCGTCTAGCTCCAGGTTTTGTGTTTGTCCACCTTCTCTTCCCTTCATAATTCTGCTTGTAACTCTGGTGTGAAGAGTTCTCAGGTGTGTGTGTTGTCCTTTGTCAAACATCTTCCTCCCCCTGGCAGACTCCTTGGGGATCTGGACTAGTGAACACTGGTCACCCACACCACGCCTTGCACAGACCCCATGCTCTCAAGCCTCATAAAGAGCCTAGGCAGGGGCTACCGAATCTGCTATGAGGCGGGTTCCCCTGGCCCCCAGGACTCCCCCCTCACTAGCTGTGTATCTAAGCAGGTTTCCTATTTGTGAGTGATGTGAGGGTTATGTTAGGTATCATGCCCACAGCACCATCTCTTTACACACAAAAGCAGTCCATCAATACCACTGCTCCAGGATTGTGTGGGATGTCAAGATAAAAAGGTGCTCTAGAAGATGGACCTCACTGCAGCCAAGTGCCAGAGGCAGCTGGAGTGCAACCCCACACCCCCAGCACTGAACTCCACTTGACTCCAACTGTCAGCCTGTTTAATGGGGCCCCCCAGGGACCCCCATGGCACTGTCCTCTGACCCCCCTGAGGTTCGCACACCATGGGCACGAACTCGATACAAGCATGTGAAACGCGGGTGTCCCCAGTTGCTGAGAATCTGGATCTTCACCTTGGGAAAGGCGGCTGGGGGGTCGTTCTGGGGAGACAAAGGGGTAAGAGCTGTTCTTCACCAGGGCTTCCCTCCTCCCCAGCCATACCCCTCCCCTACACCTGCCACCCTCAGACACAGACACACCTGCAAGTGGAACGTCTGAATCTCCGATTTCTTCACATCAAAAGTGAATTTCCCCAAGAAAACTTCAGTCTCATCATCAACCTGAAGGCCCTGATGGTGGTAGAGTAATGGAGGCATGGTAAGGCACAGGTGAAGGGGGCGGGAATTGATCCTCCCTTGTGGAGGATCAACTATGTATTCAGTGGCTGAATGTGTGCTGTTGTATGTCTGGGTGGTAGGTGGGTGCTAAGAAAGCAGGCTTTCCATCTTAGTCTGCCCAAGCTTTGTGACTTGAGGCACATTACTTTGCTGTGAAGGGGATGGTCAGAAGACTGCTTGGCAGGCTGGTAGGAGGAGGCTGTGATGCCGCTAATAAGGGCAATGACTATCACGGAGTAAAGCCTCAGCCATAACTCATTTGTAAGTGGCTATGATCATTGAGAAGCCACAGCTGCTAAGGCTCGGACCCATTCTGTGGCTTTCTAAGCAAAAGACCTCCCACTCCTGGCCCTAGTCCCAACTCACAAAGACTGCAAAGTCTCGGGGGGCGCTGTTGGCTCCCCCAGTGTGCGCCACGCTGGGCGGTGGATGCTGCAAGGTGATGTCGCTCAGCTGCACACGACCTGGTAGCCGGATCACCACCTGGCCCTGGTCACCCTCGAAGGCCCAGCAATTCCCAGGGAACACATCTGGCTGTAGGCAGGGCAGGCAGCTAAGTAGGACTGGCCAATAGAGTTGCCCACTCCCCCTCCCCCACTGCCCACCCAAGTAGGTCTCTGCTCCATGCAGTCCTCCTGGAGTTCCGCCTTTACCCCATGTTCCTGCCCAGCCAGACCATGCCACACCATGCTGAGTGACTCCTGCTAGGTTTGGCCGGGAGCCACCTAGACACCTGGCCCCTCAGCGCATCCAGGTCCTGTGCCTCCTGGAGACGCCCTGGTTGCCTGGACTGAGTCCTGCCTTGTTTCCACCCCAGCATCCAGGGCCAGGCCCACCTCTAGGATAACAGTGGGTGGCCGTGCATAGTTCCAAAAGCTAAAGCGCTTCCAGAAGTAGGCAGTGTTGGTGTCCTCATAGTCTTGGGAGGTCTTCTCCAGGTCGATCGAGGCTCCTGGAGCAGGAAGATGTGACCTTCAGGCGACTCCTACACCTTACCACCCATCTGTGTCCATCTCTGATCCATCCCAGCACCTCTGGGCCTTACCCACAGAGCTTAGCGCATAGTCTGGCTTCCGCACAAAATCCTCGTGGAGCCTCTGGAACACCAGCTTGGCCACTCTCTGAAAAGCGATGGGGCAGGGTGTGCAGGTAGGGTTTAAGGACAGGGCAGGGTTCTCAGGGACCCAGACGCTTGGCCTCAGAACCCAGGGAACCGGGATTGGAAATGTGGTTCTGGGGCGGGCAGAACCACGGGGCCAGGCTCGCTGTCAAGCAGGTGCAGCTGCGGGGCTCACCTCACTGTTGGCAGAGCGAACACTGGACACCTCCTTGTGGAGTTTGTCTAGCTCGGCTTGGAGCTGCTGCAACTGCTGCCCCTGGGAGTGCACACGCTCATGGTAGTCACTGGAGGGTGGGAGGCAGCCAAGGTTGGCTCCCTGTTCCTCCCTTGGAACCCGCTCAGTTTCCCCACCCTAGAATCCCTCTTTCACCTTAGAGTCAGCATCTCCTTAGGTTCCTATTTCAGGAAAGGAGGGTGGGGCACAAAACATAGCTCTGCTCAGTTCCTGGTCGCCTTGGGCCCACTTCAGCCTGGAGGTACCTAGCCTCCAAGCTCTTCGTGAGGACTGTGCTCCCAACTCACACCCTGCTCCTGATCTTTGCAGACCACAGCCTCACGCCCTGGCAGCTCAGCAATCCCCACGCCTCCAGATTCAAAGCCCACCACCCACCTCAGGACAAACCTCACTCACGTTTTCCAAAGGCAGTACTAGGTACAGGAGTCCCCACCACAGTACTGAAGACAGAAGGAAGAGTATCAGAAAGAGGGAAAGGAATGCAGGGGGTTTCTCTAACGTAGGGGACTGGGGGAAAAGACTTGAGGGGGTAGAGTCTTCGGGGTTGGGGGCCATGGCCTTAGGGTTATGGGAGGAAAGAGGCAGGATTTGGCATCCAAGGGGTCTGTCTGTGCCCTCACCTGCCAGAAAGAAGCCCAGCAGCGACAGGGCCGTGAGCAGGAATCGGACGGAACAAACCTCCCTGAGGGACGGTAGGCAGGCTGAGGCTCAGACTGGGGCAACCCCACAGCCCCCACCCCAGGGTCCTAGACCCAGCTTCTGGGAACGAGACTCAGCCAGTTCTGAGCCAGCTGAGCCTCAGCCCGGCCCGGCCCTGCCCCGCCCTCTGACCTGTACACACTGACCAGCGCGTCTCCCGCCAGGGACAGCAGCACGCTCAGCACCTGGAAGAGCAGGCCTGGGGGCGGGAGGAGGCTGATCAGGCCGGGGTGAGCGACAGGGGAGCAGGGAAGGGGCTCGGCCCCGAGCAGGGGCATTTGGGTCGGAGGGCAATGGGGGCTGGCCTGGCTCGTACTCAGCAAGCTCTTGGACACACGCGGGGGAGGCATCTCCTGCCTCAGATCCAGAGAGAGAAGCTCGAGCGGCTCTTCAGACACTACGGGAGCCTCAGTCGGTTCTGCGGGAGCCCAAGGGCTCCATTGGGGCCTGGCGCACTGCAGGCCTGTTTGTCCCTCTGCACCCAGCTGCAGATTGCCCAGACCAGCAGCCAGAAGGCTGGGCAATCTCTCCCGGGCTCGACTCCCGCGGGACCCCCACGGCGGCCCGCGGGACATCCTGAAGCCCCGCCCCTCAGGGCAGTGCTGGAGAATTAGTAACGCCCCCAAACGGATGCTCCGCCCTCCGGCTGCGGGATTGATGCCCCACCTCCATTCCCCTAAAGCCACGCCTCCTCCCCAGTGATGCCCAATCACGGAGTTTTCCCGCCCCCTCCCAGGAGGGCTCCGCTAAACACCACCCCCTCATAATCACCTCCCAAGCCCCGCCCAGTAGGCCCGACTCCTCCCTCCACTCACCCGGGTTCGACCCCGCCCGCACCCGAGGCCCCGCCCCTCACGGTTGCCGCGCCACTGGCTGTCTGCCCATTGTAGCTCCGAGGCGCAGGCTTCGGCCGAGAGCTTCCTTCCCATGTGGTTCTTCCGGGCACTCCTGCGCTCAAGGCGGGCTCACCACAGCTCGAGCCCTGGGCTCTTCTGCCCTCGAGCTCCCCCGGCCCCGACCCAGCTGACCGGTGCCCGCGACTGATCCCTGAGGTGACGCTCTCAGAGCTATTACTGTTGTCGCTGTAGAAGTTGGGCTTGTGTTTGTGTGGAGACGCGGCCGAGCCCGGGCGGGGGCTCCGCCGCATCCTGACCGGGACGCCCAAGTCGCTCCCGCGACAGCCAAGGCCCTCGGCGCCCCACTCAGCAGCTGCGCGCAGCCGGCGGGCCCTGAGGCCCGACTCAGCTCTCTGTATCTGGGCCGAGTTGCCAAACGTCATAAAAGGGACCCACGTCTCCGTGGAGCGCCCTGACCGCGCGTCACAGAGCTAGCCGTGACGTCCCTGGGAGCCATAGCAGCCTCTTATTCTTGCGGACGTCTGAAGCAAGCAGTGACTTACCTCATAGCAACTTCCCAGGACACCTTATCTAAAAATGCACCCAGAATATCTATCCCCTTTCCCTGTGTCTTCTCCCAGACACTTGTCATTATGATGTCGTGTATTTCACAGCATGAACTTTCTCAGGCAGGGACGGCTACTTTCTTCACTAGTGTATCCCTCTAGTGTATCCCTAGATAGATTTAGATGGTTAGTAGTTGCTTCAATGTTTGTGAATGAATGAATCAATGAATGAATGAATGTTAAGCAGAAGCAGGGCATTACCCAGGGCACTTAAGAAAAAATTACTTTGTTTATTTCAAAGGCAGAGTTCCAGAGGGAGAAGGAGTGAGGACTGAGATCTTTCATTCCCTGGTTCACTCCCAGTGTCTGAAGCCAAGAGCCTGGTGCTCCAGCCAGGTCTCCCATGTGTGAGGCAGGGTCCCAAGTGCTCAGAAAAACTTCCACTGCTTTCCCAGGCACATTAACAGGGAGCTGCATTGGGAGTGAAGTGGCCAGGGCTTGAACTGGTACTCACATGGGATGGGGGGTGCCAGCAGCCCTTTGTCTTCCTGCTGCCCCGTAGGGCACTTCTAAACAAACATTTAGTCTCTTGCTCTGCAAGCCCTTCAGCCACCCTCTCTCATCAGTCCTCAGGCCAGAGAGCTTAGAGCTCAGCATGGTTGGGTCCCTCCCCAGCAGTCCTGTGACGGGTGATGTCATGGAGAATGAAGAACCACAGATGGTCACAGCTAGATCAGATGTCTGTAGGCTTCTGTACAGTAGATTACCTACAAGTTCTACTTCAGTGTTTCTAGAGTGGGCCCAGGACTACGCTTTGTTGTTGGAGAGCAGGAAGGGAGAAAGTTCCAATCTGCTGTAACTAAATGCTCACAAGGGGTTGGTCCTAAGAGCTAGGGATTCAATCTTGTTCTCCCATGAGTACCGCAGACAGAAACTGTTTTGAGAACAAAACGCCACAAAGATCCTTGCAGACAAGGCAGCAACTGACAAAAAGCCAAAGCTAGTGTTCTTTAAAAAAAAAAAAAAAGATTTATTTATTTTGATTGGAAAGTCAGATATTCAGAGAGGAAGAGAGACTGATAGAAATATCTTCCGTCCATCAATTCACTCCCCAAGTGGCTGCAACAGCTGATTCTGCACCAATCCGAAGCCAGGAGCTAGGAACCTCTTCCAGGTCCCACACGCTGGTGCAAAATCCCAGTGCTTTGGACCATCCTTGACTGTTTTCCCAGGCAACAGGCAGGGAGCTGAATGGGAAGTAGAGCTGCCAGGATTAGAACTGGCACCCATATGGGATCCCATCATGTTCAAGGCGAGGACTTTAGCCGCCAGGCCTCCACACTGGGCCTGTTCTTAAAATACAAATTCAGATGTGGGAGGTCGTTAGGGAGAGTCAGCAGCAAGTGTCTGAGATGGACACTGTAAGGGACGAGACAGTGCTAAGTGACGAGGTCTGTGGTTGGCAAGGCAAAGCCCTGGGCAGCACACGTTTCTACAGTGATTGGCTACATGATCTGCTCTCCTCCTCTCCCTGGGCACAGGGGGATCCATCGAAGAACCTCCTGGCTGGGACAGTGATGAGTTGGCTAACTAAAGTGCCACAGGTGCATCAAGCATATATATGGTTGCCGAAATGAATAAAAGCCACCAGGATAGGCAGATTCACTCCTGCCTAAGAGGAACTCACTGGCATGCTCTACTTTCAAAAACTTTTTCTTTTCTCATTATGCGTTCCCCTCTCTTGAAACCCTGGTTCATATTGTGCTAGTTCCAGCATATATAAGTGGCAGGATGTGCCAGGAAGCCAATTCCTTGAGCTGTCACTACTGACTCCCAGGATCTCCTAGAATCAGGAGCACAAATAAAGAAACTAGATTTTTTCTACTTTTGTGATTTCTGCCCTACTTGCTTGACTAGGGGCTGTGTGAACTCCATGCCTGACAGTCTACATGGCACCCAGCAGGGCACCTGGTAGGTCATGTAGGCAGAGCACTCCTCAGGAAGGAGATACCTGGTGTTAGATAAGATCCACTGCCCTATAGTTCATCAGTTTGTGCTTTTTGAAAATTACTTGCTTCAAACCCACCAATAGAAGCCTGCCAACTTGTTCTTTTTGAAAAACAGTTAAACCGACGAATCATGACTATATAATTATATGGAATTGGCTTGAAATGTATAAGAATCCTGTGCTGTTCACCCTCACTCTCTTTTTTCTGTCCTGCTGTTCCTGCTGCAGCCTTAGCTGCAGCTGCCCCTACCCACTACCAGCCCTGCAGGACTGGGGTGGTGGGGGAATGGCTGGGAGACCTAGATTAACATGAATAAACAGCGCTTTAGACATTAGCACCAACTTCAGACTCCTAATGATCTTCCAGGGATTGCAAAATCTGGCACAATACTGCAATGTGGAAACCAGGGATTTTTTTAAATAAAGATTTATTTTTTATTGGAAAAATAAAAGGCAGACTTACAGAGAGAAGATGGAAAGAGGGAGAGAAATCTTCTATCTGCTGGTTTACTCCCCAAATGGCTGCAATGGCTGGATCTGGACCCAGGCAAAGCCAGGAACCAGGAGCTTCTTCCAGTTCTCACACATGAGTAGAAGGGCGCTCCTCCACTGCCTTCCCAGGCCATTAGCTAAGAATTGGATTGGAAGTAAAACCACCAGAACTTGAACCAGTACTCTTATGGGATGCTGGCACCACAGGTGGAGGCTTAGCCAGCTATGCCATAGTGCTGACACTAAACTGCTTGGCTAAATACCTATTCCAGAATGTATATTTTTATCAACCACATTCCTGGTCCTGATTAAGAGCCACACCATAAGGAGCAATCATATGAGTTACACAGCTGGGCAGAGGTTGTGGATGGATTAGAATCCCCAGGACCCCAAAATAAGCGCCTTCCGTAGAATGCTAGGAAGTACAGGAGGGGCAGTTCTTGGAGGGAATGAAGGCACAGGGACAATCAGTTAAGCTGTGTTCCAGCCCAAAGGGGAGGTGCCAGTGCCAGGCTCTAGGGGTGAAGTCAACCCTTTGCTTGATTAGAAGTCCACAGAGCCCAAGATGAGGAATAGGGAGAGGAATGCCAAGATACTACCAACAAAGAATTCTGATCCTCCCCTGCTGCCCCATGCCTGTTTCCTGTTTGACCATTAATTCCTTTGGGTCCTCAGTGTCCTCACATGTGCTGAAAGACCAGGGGGAATGCCCTCCCCTCACGGCAGAGGATCTTAAGGGCCAAGCTGGACTTTGCTAATGCTGTTTAGCTCCTAAACTCATCCCAATACCCAACACCTGAGGAACAGGCAGCACAGGGTTTCCAACCCCAGTGGTGAGACAGAAAAGGTGACACACAAGGAAGCACCATGGCAAGACCCAGGGCCACTGAAGGTCTAATCTTATCTGCCACTGCTGCCCAATGCATGCCTTATAATCAGACACAACTGAACAAATGGCACGTCCCAGACACACCCTGCCTTCTCCTCCACTGCCTGCCTGGCTGGCTCTGCTCTCATCTCCTGGCCTGAACACTTCCAAGCCTGCTCTGATCCCTGGCCCTTTCTACTCTAAAGGCAACTGCACTCCTTCTGGGCTTTTTGAGGGATGGAGCCCCAACTGAAGCTCTCTGTGGCTGAACTGCCCCCACCCCCAGAATGGCACAGCACAAGTCCTGCTCATAGCAGGTAAGTAACTAGAACAACTAAGTGGATGGCTGCAAAAGGCCCTCAACATACAGTTTCTGTCACCTAGCATGGGCTCAGACTTACAGATAGTCATTCCCGGGCCCAGTGCAGTAGCCCAGCGGCTAAAGTCCTCACCTTGCATGCCTAGGATCCCATGCGGGTGCCGGTTCTAATCCAGTGGCCCTGCTTCCCATCCAGCACCCTGATTGGGGCCTGGGAAGGCAGTGGAGGACTGCCCAAAGCCTTGGGAACCTGCACCTGCATGGGAGACCTGAAAGAGGTTCCTTGCTCCTGGCTTCGGATTCCCAAACTAGATTAACTTCCTGGTTAAACATTCTCATAGCATTTCTCATAGAATTTATTGTGATGGGCCCTGAGCAGTAGCCTAGTGGCCAAGGTCCTCACCTTGAATGCGCCAGGATCCCATGCGGGTGCTGGTTCCCAGCAGCCTTGCTTCCCATCCAGCTTCTTGCTTGTGGCCTAGTAAGGCCGTTGAGGACAGCCCAGAGCCTTAGGACCCTGCACCTGCATGAGAGACCTGGAAGAACTCCAGGCTCCTGGCTTCAGATCGGGGTGCAGCTCTGGCCATTGCATCTGCTTGGGGAGTGATTTATTAGTACCGTGCTCTAACCAACTGAGTTAACCGGCCACACATTGGGGAATGATTTAATGGACAAAAGATCTTCCTTTCTATCTTTCCTCTCTGTATATATGACTTTTAAATAAAAATAAATAAATATTGAGAAAAGATACCATCATTCCTTCAAGGGGCTTGACAATTATGCACCTGTTTAAGGGATCTAACAGAGGAGTTTTATGCTCTGAGAAATCCATGCATATTCACTATCGTATAGATCACGTCCAAGGTTTGCAGGTTCTCTGTCTTCTAGGATTCCTTGAGCTTTCTAGGACTCTAAGAGTCTCTGTTGTATTGATCAACTGTTATGTGCAAGCTACAGACATGTGGTCAATTGTCCATTCATTCATTAGTCTAATGAATCTGTCAAACACCAATAGCACAAATGCTGGCCAGAGGGGAGCATTTACTCATCCATCCATTGACCTAGCTAGTGTTTTGAGGGCCTAATAAGTGCAGATCCTGAGCTGGACATTGAGAACAGAAAAAGGAGGAAAGAGCAGCATCAAGTTCATGCTTTGCAGCCTCCTAGGCGGGCAGTAACCAGGCTGGAATCCTGCCCTCTTACCCCAGCTCTCCCTAAGCCATCCCCCCTCTACAAGGATGCAGGATGGAGGCTAACACAGCCCTGTCCATCTGCAACTGGTTCAGGCAAGCAGGATGGGCCTGACCCCAGGGACCTCAGCCCCATCTCTTAGTTTCCCCCTGCCTTTCCCTATGACCACTGGGCCTGCTGCCTGTGTGTTTGACTATAGGGCAGGGATTGCTGAACCTGCTGGGTGAGTCCAGTGAGTCAGAGGCGATTCAGGTGGGCAGGAAGGCAAGCAGACAGAGTGAGCCATTGGCACTGGGGCTATGGCACTGACCGTGTGTGTGCGGCGTCTCACGGGACTGCCAGGCACCCATGACCGGCAAGTCAAGCTCAGCTTTCGAGGTGATATTTGTGGGGGTGCTCTAAGGACTTTGGGAACTGAGGTGGGGGGGTCTCTGGATTCTGAAGTCCCTACATCTGCAATGATCCCTCACTATATAGCCTGTTTCCTGTCTCTTTCCCAGCCTTATATCTCCAACTCACTGCCTCCATCCCTTCTCATCTTGTAAGGGTCCATTGAGAAAGGGGGGCGGGGGGCGGTGCCTGGACATCGGACCAAGGGTAGGGGATGTGGATGCTTTTTGGGGATGTGAAGAGCAGAGAAATGACTAGTGTCAGTTCTGAGCAGGCTCTACCCAGAAAACAAGGAAAATCCACTGTGGTCGGGAAGCAGACATCGGCGAGGTCAGTACAGTTTGTTCTTGGGTGGCGAACTGGCCATATCCATACTGTAATTCAGGGGCTCATGCTGGGGTTTCAGAAGTACAGCCTGAGGAGATGGGGTCTGTCACAGGACTGAGGGGTCAGACCCACTTGTGGAAAAGTCAGTCCTACGACTGTAGACCTCAGTCCCAGGATCACCCCTGATTTGGGGTCAGTCTTACCACACTAAGGGGATCAGTCCCAGGTTTGGGGTGTCAGTTCTGGAGGGAGCTCTAATTCTGGAGGATCAGCTTCTGTCTCGGGCTTGGGAACAGGCTCTGGACTGGGGATTTGGGTTAACCCAGCTCCAGGTGTCACATGCTCCCTCCCATGTCTAGCTGTTCCGTTGGCCCCACTACGGGGCTCCGCTGGCTGGGGAGTGTCTGTCTGTGCGAGTTGTCAACTGTAGCCGTGTGTTCAGTCCCAGGTGAGCAGGTCTGGGGAGCCAGCGCTGAGGGTGGGAGTGGGGTGGCTTGCTGCTGTCATTCCCCTGGGTCACTGTTCTCTTTTGTTGCCACTCCTGCAGGTCTCTGGGGACCTTGGTAATCTCCCTACAGCAGTTACAGAGTACCGGGCATTTGGTGCTACGGGAGGCCCTTGTGGATGAACACCTGCGTGTGTCCCCAGTGAGTGCACCTGCTGTCCATTGCCTCACCCTCACTTCTACTTCCCAGACAGGAACAACCTTTCTCCCTCACCTCTGACGCTGGGCTCCTTTCACCACAGTACCTGCTTGGATCTCACATGCGCCAAGAAACACAGTTAACTTGGGCCCAGGGGTGTGACAGTGGGGGAGAGCAGTTGCTCCCTGACCCTGAAGCAGGCTTGGTTCTTGTGGAAGACAAGGTTAAACCTGGTCGGACCTTTCTGGAGTTTCATAGAGAATGGAAACTCACAGAGTAGTAGAAATAGACATGGCCTCAATCTCAAATCTGCTTTTTTTTTTTTCCAACTGAAAATTCAGACAAGTCATTTAGTATCTCCAAGAGGTTTGGTAATTACATAATATAATCATACCTAGTACTGAATTTTTGGTTTTGTTTTGTTTTAAGATTTCATTTGAGGGCCCAGTGGTGTAGCCTAGTGGCTAAAGTCCTTGCCTTGCACATGCTGAGGTCTCATATTGGCGCTGGTTCTAATCCTGGTGGCTCTGCTTCCCATCCAGCTCCCTGCTTGTGGCCTGAGTAAGCAGTCGAGGATGGCCCAAGGCCTTGGGACCCTGCACCCATGTGGAAAGTCTGAGTGAGGCTCTGGGATCCTGGCTTCAGATCGACTCAGCTCCGGCTGTTGCGGCCACTTAGGGAGTGAGTCATTGGACGAAAGATCTCCCTCTCTGTCTCTCCTCCTCTCTGTATATCTGATTTTCCAGTGAAAATAAAATAAATCTTAAAAAAATAATTTTAATTTGAAAGGCAATATTACAAAGAAAGAAGGAGTAACAGAATCTTTCATCCATGGATTCATTCCACAAAATGGCTGCAACAACCAGAGCTGTGTCAGTCCAAAACCAGGAGCCAAGATCTTCCAGGCCATGTGTTTGGGCCATTCTCTGTTGCTTTCCCAGGCACTTTAGCAGGGAGGTGGATTAGAAGTGGAGGATCCAGGATTTAAATGGGCACTCATATGAGATGCTGGCACTGCAGATGAAGGCTTACCATGATCAGTTACAGCAATGGGTCCCATCATTCTCAGTTGAGCTCTCATCACAGCAAGTGCTCTGCTGAGCAACGAGGAGTCCGCAGCAAGCAAAACTAGACAAGGATGTGCCCTCCTGTAGCCTGACTACAGAGGGTGGCAGCCAATAAACAAATACTGCAAATACTAGCGTAAAGTTGCTACCAGCCAATGTTACAAAGCAGCTAGTGGAGCTGAGAATAGGACCTCTTTGTAAATTTCCTGCTTCCCAGAAAAGATTCCCTGAGGGAATACTGCTTGAGCCCTGCCCAGAAGGATGGTAGGTTCCATCAAGTGAGAGTGGGGCTGGTGGAGGATGTTCCAGGCAGACAACCTGGCATATGCATGAGCCTGCTCTCCAGAGGGAGTACAGCTAGGGTGTCGAGCAGCAAGAAGACCTGCAATGAGATGGAGCCAGGAAGGAGCAGAGTCAGGCCATGTAGAGCCGTGGAGTCCACAGCAAGGCCTTTCTGAGAGTGATAGGGCATTAGGATCTGTGTTTGGCCTTCTGAGGTGATAAGCTGTAAATGGCGAAGTCTGTCACAGGTTGTAGGTGGGCATCATCATGGATAAGCACAGGCTGGAAAGCCGCCTCTGTTTTCAGATGGAACTAAAGGAGACATCTGGGGGCCTCTCTTTGTTCCAGCAAAGTCTGAGGCGTCCTCAGGGGACACTGTGTGTCTGCTTCTAGATCCAGGTGGAGCTTGACCTGAAGTACCAACCGCCAGAGGGTGCCACTGGAGACTGGGCAGAGGAGGACTTTGGGGTACCCATTCGGGACAGGTACCCCCACCCGCACATCATAAGCAATGCCTGGAAGTGGTCCCCAGTTCCATCCTGAATCTGCCAAACACTGGAAACCCCTGGATGCCTACTGGGCTGCAGATCTGCATTAAGGTTTAGCTCTTTCCTTTTGTTTCTCCACCTTCCAGCTCTGAGCTAATCATCCCCAATGTTGGCTTCCAGGAGCTTGAGTAAGTATATGATGCGGAGGGCATGGGATGACCTGGGTCACTGGGGCCTGTCCTGGGGTTAGCAGCCTGTGGTGTTGGGTGTCCCGGGGTTAACTCCAGGGTCAGAGTCAACCCTCTGGAGTTAGGCATTAGTTCTAGAATTCAAAGGGTCTCAAGGTTTGAGGTCTGATCTGTAGGATTAGTCTGAGGGTCAGAGGTCAGTCCTGGGGTCAGGAAAGTCAAGGGCTTTGCAGGGATAAATGACAGGTCCCAGGCGATGTCCCTTGAAACCCTTTCCATCAGGCCTGAGGAGGCCCGACTGGAGCGGCGGGCGGTGGCTTTGGGCCGGCGGCTGGCTCGAAGCCTGGGCCAGCAGGATGATGAGGACAACGAGCTGGAGCTGGAGCTGGGGCTGGAGGATGAACCTGATGTGGAACTGTCCGGGGTCGTGTTCAGTCGCCTCAAAAGGTACCCCATGGCCCCTGCACACCTGCTCCCACACCTGCCATTGAGTCAGAGGACCTCCCCACATCTTTGGCTCCATGCCTATCCCTCTCACAGACACCTGGTCCCAGAGGAGGGTCCAGGATTGTTTTCCTGGGGTCAAGTTGGGTCACTGACAGGCACAGACCCTGGCAAGCTGGGTTAGGTCGGTTTGCACAGGTACCTGAGGGGGCCAAGTTGTGTCTCCAATCTCAGTGCCCACATCTTTGAGAAGTGAACATGTGGTTTTGTGGCTTCAGCAATGAGTCAAATGCAGGTGTAGGATTGAGATGGGGGCAGGATCTAGGGAAGCTCAGGGGACCAAGAGACCCCCACTCAGCACAGAGCAGGGCAGGAGCGGGGCAAGTGAGCACTGACCCTGGACTTTCCTGCAGCCGTACGCGGGGCCTGACCCGCGGGGATCCCTTCCAGGCATCCAGAGCCCAGGAATTCCAGGTACCCCTCATTACTTTCCCACCTCCAGCCTGCTTGTGGGAGCCCCATCTTGTATTCTGCCACCAGCAATTGCATCTTCCTTTCCTCCTCTCTCTGCAATCCGTCAGGTGGGGGTCACTGTGCTGGAGGCCCAGAAGCTGGTGGGCGTCAACATTAACCCCTATGTGGCTGTGCGGGTCGGGGACCAACGCCGAGTGACCACCACCCAGCGTGGGACCAACTGCCCCTTCTACAACGAGGTAGGTGGGTGGGCCTGCGGGAAAGGACAGAACGTGAGGTGTCCCACAGTGGTCTGAGGGTGACTATGAGGCTGGGGGCAGTTGGTGTGAACCCCTCGATCTCTGCTCTTCCCTTGCTGCTCCTCCAACCCAGTACTTCCTGTTCGAATTCCACGAGACCCGGCTTCGCCTCCAGGACCTGCTGCTGGAGATCACGGTGAGGGGGTCACAGCTGAGGGTCTCCCCCTGTAAGGGGGAAGGGTGTGGAAGCTACTCGGGACTAACACCACCTCCCCCCAGGCTTTCCACTCGCAGACTCTCCCCTTCATGGCCACCCGCATTGGCACCTTCAGAATGGACTTGGGTATCATCTTCGACCAGCCAGGTACTGAGCCTTCCTCTCTTGGCACCAGCCAGCCCGACGCCCTCTCCACGGGTCAGGGGTCTGCCTGCCCTGAGATGCACTCCCTGCAGAGCTTAGTGTTCTTCTGTGCCTCCGAGCTCCTCTTCCATGAGCAGCCGCCCAGAGCTCGGCCTGAGCCATGACCAGATGCTTGCCTCGCAGCGTTCCATGGGTTTCCCCTGAGCTGGGTTTGCTCCTCTGCCCACCCCTCTCCCCCAGATGGCCATTTCTACCAGAAATGGGCTCCACTGCACGACCCCCAGGACACCCGCGCCGGCATCAAGGGCTTTGTCAAGGTCACGTTGTCTGTGAGGGCGCGTGGGGACTTGCCCCCTTCCCTGCCACCCCCGGGCCCGGGGCACAGCGCGGACATAGAGAAGTAAGCAGGGCAGAGATGCAGGTGGCCCGCGGCCGGCAAGAAGGGGCGTGGCTCCGGGCGAGGGGCGTGGTCGCGAGGGCTAGGGTATCCAGCGGGGGCGTGGCCTCGATGCGGGGGCGTGGTCTCGTGCTGGGGAAGGCCCGCCCTCAGCATCCTTGCTCCTCCAGGAACCTGCTCCTTCCCCGCCGGGTGCCAGCCGAACGGCCGTGGGCGCGACTCCGTGTGCGCGTGTTCCGCGCCGAGGGGCTTCCGGCACTGCGCTCCGGGCTGCTGGGGAGCCTGGCCCGCGCCCTACACGACCAGCGCGTCCTCCTAGACCCTTACGTGAAGGTGTCCTTTCTGGGACAGCAGGCAAGAGGCTCCCGCGCCCAAACACGCCTCACTGCTCACCCCTCACCTCTAACCCCTCACCCCTCACCGGTGCACGCCACCTCCTCCTGCAGGGCGAGACGTCGGTGCGCAGCGAGGCAGTGGCGCCGGAGTGGAACGAGCAGTTGAGCTTCTTGGAGCTCTTCCCGCCGCTGACACGCGGCCTTCGCCTGCAGCTGCGGGACGACGCGCCCCTCGGCGACGTGGCCCTCGCCACGCACGTGCTGGACCTGAGGCAGATCTCCCACCCAGGCCGCGCGGGTGAGCGTCGCGCTGCGTCGCGCCCTGATCGGCCTCGGTCCGCGTCGTCCGCCTCAGAGGCTGGGTTGTCCAGGGGTCTCGCCCTCCTCAGCAAACCCATTCTAGGCTCCTAGCTCCGTGCGGCAGCTCGGTAACACACAGGGACCTGTCCTGTCGCCCTCCTGGGTATGCAGCCGCTCTGGAGTCTGGCCGCCACAGCGTGGACCTCCTACACGCACTGTAATCCACTTCCACCCCCCTCCCCTGCTAGCTCGGTCCAGGGACCTTCGGCACTGCTTTGGTGGTGCCAGGAGGTGTTGTCCCCTGGTATGGGCCGGCACTTCCCCTTCTGGGAGGGGTTAAAGACATGGCCCATGAAAGGACCTGGGGCCCACCCACCCTGCGCTCCCCTCCAAAGCCCTGTTTTTGTCCTCCTGCAGCGGGGTTTAACCCCACCTTCGGCCCGGCCTGGGTGCCCCTGTATGGCTCGCTCCCCAGCCGGGGGCTCCGGGATGGTCTTCAAGGTCTCAACGAGGGTTTTGGCCAGGGGATTTGGTTCCGTGGGCGCCTGCTGGTGGCCGTGTCCATGGAGGTGTTGGAAGGCAGGGCTGAGCCTGAGGGCCCCCAGGCCTCAAAGGGGTCCAGGTTGTCCCGACTTACCAGAAAGAAGAAGAAAGCCAAGCAGGGCCAGGCCCCTTCGGGGGCTCCTGCAGCGGCCGCTGGCTCCAGTGTGCAGGGGCCTGAGATTCCCAGCGCCGTGGAGGTGGAGGTGGAAGAGCTGTTGCCGCTGCCAGAGGTGAGGGCTGGGATTGGTAGCCAAGGGAGTGGGGTCGCTCTGGGGTGTAGTCCCCCCTCCTCTTCCTCAAACACATGGGCGGTGGAGGGTGTCAGTGTGGTGGCCTGAGTGGCATGCAGTGTGGATGCTGTGTGTTCTTGCATGTGCATGCTGCCTGGAGTGGACTGGCTCCTGGGACCAAGTGGAGTGTGGACTGCAGGGGACACGGAGGGAGGGTGGGGGCCTGCGGTGCCTTCCAAGCCTTGGTGCAGGTTTTTGTGTGGGTTTTGTGAACCAAAAGTGTTAAGGGGCCTATTCCCACCTGACTCCTTCCCCAGAACGCCTTGGCGCCCCTCCAAGACTTCCTGCTTTTTGGTGTGCTCTTCGAGGCCACCATGATTGATCCTGCGGTGGCCTCTCAGCCCATCAGCTTCGAGATTTCTATCGGTGCGTGGCCTCCTGGGACCCCTGCGGGCCACAAGTTGAGGGTGGTCAGGTTTTGGGTTCCTGCACTGCAGCCAGGAATGGGGTCAGACTCCCATCGAGGCGGGGGTCATTAAGGAAGGAGGTGTGCTCCTGCTCGTGTGGCCTCCCTGACCTCTGTGGCCTTCCGACCTCCGTGGCCCTGAGGCAGGTCGTGCAGGCCGACAGGAGGAGCGTGTGGGCCAGGGTTCTAGGGCCGCACAGGAACCTGAGAACACTGAGGCAGAGGTGCAGCCTCTGCTGGACTTAGAAGTGGGGATGGAACAGGAGGAAGAGGAGGAGGAGCTGGGCATTCCTGCTCAGCAACCTGAGCCCATGGATGGCAGCGGGTGAGTGGCTGGGTTATTGGGGGGTGGGAAGGGGGCGTTAGGGAGCCAGGCCTCCAGTAAAGCCTTTGCGCCTGTCCTCCCACCCAGGCCGTACCTCTGCCTGCCCCTGCGGCACCGTAAGCCATGTGTGCATGTGTGGAGCCGCTGGGAGGACTACACGTGGCGCCTGCATAGTAGCAACTGTGTGCGCAAAGTGGCCGAGCGACTGGTGAGGGCCAGGGGGACACTGGGCAGGCTTGGTCACTGATGGCGCCTGGGGCCATGGCCTTTGATGGAGCACTGTAGTAAGGCTAATGGGCAGAGCACCACGGCACCAGAACCCTGGTCAGGCCAGGCCAGAGGGCAGCTTCAAGGAGCAGAACTAAGGGCAGGGAATCAGATTTGCTGCAGCCAGGTGAGGGTAGGGTGAGGATGGGCGGGGCCCACAGAGAGAGGGCCAGGAGGCAGCTATAAAGAACGGAATCACCAACCCCTGTGGAGGTGAAGAAAGGCTGGCCAGAGAGGTGTGATGGGGTCTCACAGAGAGGGGACAAGGGTTGGGGAACAGACACCCCAAGGCTCTCTGATCCTCTTGCTGGTGTGCACAGGACCTGGGGCTGCAGGAGGTGGAGAAGATGCAGCGCAGGCCAGGGCCTGGTGCCTGCGCACGGCTCAAGCAGGCACTGGAAGAACTGGTGGCTGGGAGCAGGTGAGTCGAGAGCCAAGGCCTGGATGCTGCTGATCTCCGAGCCAGTGTGGGTGGGATGGTGGAGGCTCACAGTGGCTGACCAGGGCAGTGCGTGTGCATGGTGCTTTGCGGGGGAGTAGCCAGGATGTGATTGTCCTTGTTAAGCAAAGTCATGGGCCACTCTTAGACCCTCTGCTGCCTCCTGTCCCAAGAGAACTCGGTTTTCCAGGCTCCTGAATCAGACTTACAATGTTTCCTTCCTCTTTGGCATCCCTTCCCCTTCTCCACACTTGTTCCCACTAATGGCCTCTCCTGCTTTAGAAGAACGTGGCTGTTTCCCACTAACAGCCTCTCCTGCTTTAGAACGCAGCTGCCTCACTTCCTCCATGCAGTCTGCACCTACTGGTTTCTACACCTGCCTGCCCTTTCTTCTGTTGTAGCGGGGGATGTATCTTTGCCCCAGTAGCTGAAGCTATGATCTTGACTCCATCCCCTCTGTCCTACAGCAGGAATTTGCTCAGCTACTGCCCTCTTCTCTCCTGCCTCATCTACTTCATCAGGTTATCGTTGCAACCACAGAAACATGTTCTAGTCACTCCCGTCTTGGACCTCACTGTGCTTTAAGTCATTAAGTCTCTCTTTAAGATGTTCTTTTCAAAACCAGCTTTTAATCTCTTGATTCAGTAAATATTCACAGCTCTCACTTTGGCAGACAGCGAGTGAGGCCCAAGAGTTCTGTCTACAAAAATCCAGAAGCCTCTTCCATTCCAGGGAGAGAGTGGGATGGGGAGTGAATAGAGACGCAGATAAAAATCATGTGATTGAAAAGAAGTGTGTATGATAATTAGGATAAATGCTAAGGGGGAGACAGAGCTGGGAAGCATTAGAGGAGCTGCTGCTTAGAGCAGGTGGAGGAGGGGAGGCCCCTGTTAAGGTGGTGTTAGGAAGACCAAGGGGCCTACCACATGAGGAAGGGGGAGTGCTTGCAAAGCTCTCAAGGCTGGCGTTGGAGGAAGAGCTGGAAAGTCAGCAGTGAGCAGAGTGGATGGGCCTGGGGGGGCAATGGGAAGGAGGAGCTGGGAGGATCATGTGGGAGTCTTGTGGGATCCTGTAGAGAGCTTGGCTGCTGCTCTGGGAGATCACTGTGGGTTCTGAACAGAAATGTCCTGAGGTGTCCTTGAAAAGGATCAGCATGTGGGGAGAGTGTGTCAGGGAGGGAACAGGGGGGTCCCTCTGTGGGGCATTGTGATGTTCCGGGTGATAGGAAAGGGTGAAATGAATGCAGGATGACTGCAGTGGAGGGGAGTGCCACGCGTGGATTCAGGGGAAATGTGGAGACGGTTGTAGGGACTGAGGTCATAGGGTAAGCAGGGAGTCATGAACGACAAATGAAACGAGTGTTTGAGATTTTGGCCTGCACGGCCATGTAGACGGTGGTTATTTGAGCAGTGGGAAGCAGGAGGGGATGGGGACAGGCTCATGGGAACAGGGTGTGTGTGTGTGTGTGTGTAGCTAGTCTTTGACTTGTTAACTTTCTCACACCTGTGAAATATAAATGGACACATCTGGGAGGCAGTTAGCTGTGTGAGGGGAGTCGCAAGGAGAATTTTAGGGAGAATTCTAGAAGTTAGGGACCTGTATTTTAACAGTTGGGTTCTTACAATCCTCCAGGCAGTAGAGAACTCGGGACCTGGAGGACCCCAGCATTTAAGGGCAGGATGCAGGAAAAGGAATCCACCATGGGCACTGACCAGGAGAGGCAGTGAGATGGGTTGGAGGTGCTCACTATTCTCCACTTTTTCTTCTTCTTCCTCTTCTTCTTTTTTTTTTTGTTAAGGATTTATTTATTTTCATTGAAAAATCATATACAGAGAGGAGAGACAAAAAGATCGTCCGTTCGTTGATTCACTCCCCAAGTGGCTGCAACAGCTGGAGCTGAGCTGATCTGAAGCCAGGAGCCAGGTGCTTCTTCTGTATCTCCCATGTAGGTGCAGGATCCCAAGGCTTTGGGCCGTCCTTGACTGCTTTCTCAGGCCACAAGTAAGGAGCTGGATGAGAAGCAGGGCTGCCTGGATATGAACCAGTGCCCACATGGGATCTTGGCACGTGCAAGGCGAGGACTTTAGCCACTAGGCTACTGCACCAGGCCCTTTGTTCCACTTCTGATCCAGCTCCCTGCTGATGCACCTAACAAAGCAGTTAGAAGATAGCCTCATGAGATATCGCCTCTCAGCCTTTTGGCTAAGATCAAGTGTAGAAGATAGCCTGATGACCCAGTGCAGCAGCCTAGTAGCTAAATACTTGTTTTGTATGTGCCAGCATCCCATATGGGCACTGGTTCATCCTGGGTGCTTCATTTCCCATCCAACTCCGTGCATGTGACCTGGGAAAACAACAGGAAAGCCCAAAGCCTTGGGACCCTGCACCCACATGGGAGACCTGGAAGAAGCTCCTAGCTCCTGACTTAAGATCAGCTCAGCTCTGGCCATTCCAGTCACTTGGGGAGTGAACCAGAGGACAGAAAATCTTTCTCTGTGTCTCTCCTTCTGTCTGCAAATCTGAATTTCCTGTAGAAAATAAATAAATCTTTAATGATAATAATAAAACAAATGGCCCAAGTGTTTGGACTCTTGCCATTCATGTGGAAGACCCAAGATGAAGTTCTTGGTACGTGATCATAGTGGCCATTTGGGGAATAAACCAGCTGACAGAAGATCCTCTCTTCTGTCTCCCTTTTTCTCCCTTCTCATCCCTGCCCTTGACGCTTCCCCTGCCTCTTTGTCTTTCACATACATACACACATACATAAAAACTCTGTAAAATATTCTTGGAAGTCCCTCAAGTGATAAGCCTAAAGATTCTATGTGCAGGGTCTGGGGAGAAGCTGAGATTTTTCTAAAAGAATTGTTTATTTGAAAGTCAGAGTTACAGAGAAAATCTTTCATCTATTGGTTCACTCCTGAAATGGCCATCACGGCCAGGATTGGACCAGGCTGAAGCCAGGACAAGGAGCCTCTTCTGAGTATCCCATGTGGGTGCAGGGACCCAAGCGTGTGTGACGTCTTCTGCTACTTTTTCCAGGAACATTAGAGGGCAGCTGCGTCGTAAGTAGAAAAGCTAGGACTTGAACCAGCATCCATATAGGATATGGTGTCACTTAAGGTGGAGGCTTAACTTTATCTGCTACAACACTGACCCCAGTGATTCTGTATTTCTAATGACCAGATAACTGAAATGGTTTGGTCCTGAGGCCATACTTGACATATCCAGGGTGGTGGATAACTAGCAGTGAGCTCTGGGTTTCCAAAGTGAGGCTGGCCTTCAAGAACTGGGGAGAGATCCAAGTAGGGGAGGGCATTCTTGGATAAGGAAAAGCACCTCTTCCGAGAACACGATCGAGGGCTGTGCGGGGCTCGCAGGGAAACAGCCCCAAGGGGCCACATTCTCTCTTCTCATTCCCTTCTACTTTGTGTGCCCCATTTGCTGCAGACAGTTTTGCCTTGGTGCTGAGCGCAGGACCATGACTCGGCCCAACTCCCTGGATCGCTGCAGAGGGAAACTGCTAACTCACAGCATGGTAGGGGCCAGGGAAGGGAAGTGGGGCACTCAGCAGGGGCTCTGCATTCATGCTCTTTGCTTACCTTTCCAGAACCTCTTGGCAAAGCAAGGACTGTGGCTTCTAAGGGGCCTGAGGCAGAGCAACGTGCAAAAGAAGGTGGCATTGGCCAAGAAGCTCCTGGCGAAACTGCGCTTTCTGGCTCAGGAGGTGATGTCTCGCCTGTCCAGTGTTCCTTTCCTGCAAGCATTTGGATCATCCCAGAAACTCCCGCTGCAACGTAACATTCGTGCTTAGCAATGATGCCAGGGCTGGGGTCTTTTGCTTCGGGCATAGGACCAAGATCCACTGCGAGCTGCTAGAGGTGAAAATGAGAGTTTTAGGGCCAGGCACTGACCCTGGGAATATGCATGCTCTGTGGATGAAGACTTGCAAAGCCTCCTGGGTGTGGCCTTCCTGGTCAGAGGTTTGAACAGCATGCAGTGAGGAATGGTGGGGGTTCATGCTACTAGAGAATTCCCTCTGCTAAGCATCTATATGTGTTACCTTGTGTGAGTCTTCCAAACCCCCTGCAGCAAGGGCTGCCTTTGTTGACAGCAGCAGAATCTGAAGTTTAAAGCTAGAGAGCAACTGGTCCATCGAGCTAAGTGGAGTTAGGATCCAAAGTCAGCTCTTCCTGGACTCTCTCGCTCCATCCTGCCTGTGTAGCAGGTGTCTTGGGTGCTGGAGCTGAGGGTATAATCAAGGTCAAGTATCCAGAAGCTGGGATTTGGTGTTAGAGTTCAAGGTCTAAGCTGGAGTTTAATAAGCCAGGAAGAATAAACAGCACACGCAAGCCTGGGACTTGAAGGCCTGACAGCTGGAAGACAGGTCAGGGACTTCAGCACATTCAATTGCACTACAAATTGTGTACAATTAGAGAAGGCAAGATTTTTTAAAAGATTATTATTATTATATATTATTTTATTGGAAAGACAGATTTAAACAAAGGAGGAGACAGAGAGGAAGATCTTCTATCAGTTGATTCACTCCCCAAGACGGCCCACAATGGCTGGAGTTAAGCTAATCTGAAGCCAGGAGCCAGGAGCTTCTTCTGGGTCTCCCACACGGGTGCAAGGTCCCAAGGCTTTGGACCACCCTCCATTGCTTTCCCAGGCCACAAGCAGGGAGCTGGATGGGAAGTGGGGCATCAGGGATATGAGCTGGTGCCCATATGGGATCCTGACATATGCAAGGTCAGGATTTAGCCACTAGACTACCATACCAAGCCCAATTTTATTATTTTTTACTTGAGAGGGAGAGAGTAAGAAAGAAATTTTTAAAAAGATTTATTTATTATTAGAGCAGCCTGGACACAAACTGGTGCCCATTTGGGATCCTGGCAAATGCAAGGCAATTATTTAGTTACTAGGCCATTGAGACTGGCCCTAAAGAATTGTTGTAAAGATTTATTTATTTTATTTGAAAGGTGGTTCAGATGAGGGGAGAAAGAATCAGAGAAAGAGATCTTCCATCCACTGATTCACTCTTTAGATGGCCGCAACAGCCAGAACTGTGGTGATCTGAAGCCAGGAACCAGGAGATTCTTCTGATTCTGCCACGTGGGTGCAGGATCCCAAACACTTGAATCATCTCATGCTGTTTCCCAGGCCGTTAGTAGGGAACTGGATCAGAAGTTGAGCAGAAGGGGCACGCACTGGACCCAATGTGGGATGCCAGCACTGCAGGCAGAAGCTTAACGTGCTATGCACAGTGCTGACCTCTCAAGATACATTGAGAGTGCTTCCATCATTTGGTTCACTCCCTCGATGCCTGTGATTTAGCTGCGAAGTCAGCTAAATGTTGGGAATGTTGGGATTCTGGCTCTGAACAGGTGGAGGGGAGAGTCAGGTCTGTGCTTCAGAGGGAAAGATAGCTTCCTGCTTCTGCTTGCTTATGCGTTAGTATTTGAAATCCTGTTAAATGCGTTAGATCATGGGGACCTAGGCCCTGCCAGGTTCCTTGCCTTTTTGGGATGGATGTCCTAGTGAGGAGGACAAACTCTCCATCTGTATATGGGTAAGAAAGAGTAGCAGTCTGTAGGAATTACTCAGAAAGATACTACAGTAGCTTGAGGGTGGGTGAGTCCTGTTTAGGGAGCACCAGACTGGGAGGAGCGAAAGGGGAAGCCGGTCCCAGAGCAGCAAGCGCTGTGCTGGTCCAGCCATAGAAAGCAGCTAGTATGGGGTCAAGTCCCTGGAGACAGATAGTAGAATGCCGGTTGCCAGGGGCTGGTTGGAGAACTGGAAGAGGGGTTTGTTTCAGTTGGAGAGGGTGGGAAGTGCTGGGGGTGGATATGTTGATGATGGGTATACCACACTGTGAATGTGCTTGACGCTGCCACTGCATTGTACCCTCAGGGGTATGGTTAAGATGGCTGACCTTCCCTTCCGTGTATTTTATCACAATCTTAAAACTAAACAAGGGAGAAGTAGGGCATCCCAGCAGAGGTCTGGGCAGATGGAGAGCTTGCCCTGGCTGTGGGAACAGGGTGTCTCAGCTCCACTCCTACCTGAATGACCTCATGCTTTGCCCACAGCCCCAACCGTCCTTCCCTGACGTGCTGGTCTGGATGCTCAGTGGGCGGCGCCGTGTGGCCTGGGCCCGGATCCCTGCCCAGGATGTGCTGTTCTCTGTGGTGGAGGAAGAGCGTGGCCGGGACTGTGGCAAGATCCAGAGTCTGCTGCTCACAGTGAGGACCCTGAGGGTGCAGCTGCTGGGGAGAGGGAGAAAGGTGGGCTCTCAGGAGAGGGCTGGGCTACAGAGGTCCAAGCCTGTGGTTCCTAACTGGGAATCCCACACTCTTTTTAATTCCACAAAACTAAGAGGAGACTATGCTTTTTTATTTTTTTAAGAGTTGTTTATTTTTTATTGGAAAGGCAGATCAGACTTACAGAGAGAAGGAGAAACAAAGAAATACCTTCCATCTGCTGGTTCACTCCCTAAATGGCTACAATGGCTGGAGCCAAGCCAATCTGAAGCCAGGAGCTTCTTCGAGGTCTCCCACATGAGTACAGGATCCCAAGGCTTTGGGCCATCCTCTACTGCTTTTCCAAGCCACAAGCAGGGAGCTGGATGGGAAGTGGAGCAGCCGGGACATGAACGGGGACCCCATGTGGGATCCTGCTGCTTGCAAAGGGAGGATTAGCCAATTGCCCCCTGGTGCCGGGCCCAAGGAGACTGTGCCTTTGTCCAGGTCTGCTTTGGATGGAGGTGAGCAACAGGTGTTGCTGTCTGGGCCTGCGCTGACCTCCAATCCAGGATCTGATCCCAGCAGGGTAGTGACAAAAGGACAGAAACTTCTTGGTCCCTTACAGGTGTGAGGGTGTGCACACTATATCCAAAAATATCCTCAGAGAGATGACCCTGCAGAGATGGGGAAAACGTGGTGTGAGAAGGAGGCATGCAGGGCACTGTATGGTTTTGGGATGTGAGCTCATGGGAACAGGATGCAATGATGTTGGAAATAGGTCATGGAGAGGGGTGCAAGGTTGAGGCCCAAAGGGTGTTGTTTGATCAGGAAGTTTGGGGATAGTTCTGCAACAGGTACCTGGGGTTCTAACCTGCTGCTGGCCGTCACAGACTCCTGGAGCAGCCCCTGGGGAAGTCTGCGCCAAACTGGAGCTCTTCCTGTGGCTGGGACTGAGCAAGCAAGCCAAGGCCTGCACCTCTGAGCTGCCCGCTGAGTTGCTGCCCGAGCCCACTGCTGGGTTGCCCCGCAGCCTTTACCGTGATGGTGAGTGTGCAGCCTGGTCCCATTCCCTAGGGGCGGGGCTCATAAGGCAGGTGGTCCCCTGAGCAGACCTGGCTCTTTCCTTCTCCACACCCCAGATTTTAGCTACTTCCAGCTCCGGGCTCACTTGTACCAGGCCCGTGGTGTGCTGGCTGCAGATGACAGCGGCCTCTCGGACCCCTTCGCACGAGTGCTCATCTCCACCCAGTGCCAGACCACGCAGGTGAGGCCTGCGTCGCATGAAGGACCAAGAGACAAGGAGGCATGGGGCTGAGTGTCCCTGCCAAACTCCCTTCTCTCCCTGCACTTTCAGGACTGGATGCTGGGGGAACTGATCTGACTTGGGTGGCAGTGGGGTATTGGAACCAGTGTAGTGTTAGTGAAGGGTGAGGGTTCATTTTCTGGGGTCCATTGTGGGCCTGGCTCTGAGGATGGTTGATTGCAGTGGTACCAGCAGGGATGCTGGCCCAACACTCCCCCACCTCCAAACTTGCACTTAACTTTTGTCCTCATCCCATTGCATTTGGGACTGGCCTCTAGCTTAACAGGGAGGGCCTATACACTGGGAGTCTTCTGACAGCAATCCCTTGTCTATGCGGCCCCCTAGGTCCTGGAGCAGACACTGAGTCCCCTGTGGGACGAGCTCCTGGTATTTGATCAGCTGATTGTGGATGGGCGGAGGGAACACCTGCAAGAAGAACCTCCGCTGGTGATTGTCAATGTCTTTGACTACAACAAGTTTGTGAGTGTGGCCAGGGCCCACCTCCCTCCCCTGTCTGGGGGTCCCCCACCTCCCCTGGCTCCTGAGACTCTTTTGTCGCCCTGCCCCATGCAGGGCCCTGCAGTGTTCCTGGGGAGGGCGTTGGCTGCCCCGAGAGTAAAGCTGGCTGAGGACCCATACCAGCGCCCTGAACTGCAGTTCTTCCCCCTGAGGAATGGGCCCCGGGCAGCAGGAGAGCTCATTGCCACCTTTGAGCTCATCGAACTGGACTATAGCGGCCGATTTGAGGTCAGAACACCCCTTCACACTGGTCTGCCTCGTTCGTCCGTTGGGCTGTGCGGCCTCCCAGGAAGACACAGTGTGGGCATTTCCTGGGATCTGAAGGAGAGGCTACAACGTCTGTCCTGGGGTCACCTCCTGGAACCTCCTGATCCTAGGGACCATCACAAGTGCTCAGACCACGGTTTACCTGCCAGGCCCAGGGACTGCAGGCTGCTGGCTCCTCCTGCAGTCACCCCACCCCTACACCTCAGCCACCTGCCCTTCCTTCCAGTTCACCCCGCCAGCCATCCACTCATCTGGCCTTGCCTGGGAGATGCCTTGCCAGCAGCTTTGCATGTCCCTCCCCCAAGCCCAGGCTTAGCCTCCTTTGGGCTGATGACTCTTGACCTCTAATCTCTACTCTCTGCCTCTGGCAGCCCTCGGTGCCTCGTGATGTGGAGCCCCAGGATCTGACAGGCTTAGTGGATCCCCTCTCTGGACGCCTGTCCCTGCCACCCAGTGTGCGACCTGTGCTCAGAGAGTTTCGCGTAGAGGTAGCGTCAGACCCTCACAGTCTCTTCACTCCCCATCCCGGTCTCAGCCCTGGCTGCCCCTGGGTCACAGCAGGCCTCTGTGTGCCCTACTTCATGGCTGCAGGTGCTGTTCTGGGGCCTGCGTGGTCTTGGGCGTGTGCATCTGTTTGAGGTGGAGCAGCCCCAGGTTGTGCTGGAGGTGGCTGGACAACGTGTGGAGTCTGAGGTCCTAGCCAGCTACCGCGAGAGCCCCAACTTCACAGAGCGTGTCAAGCATCTGACTGTGGTGAGCCCAGAGTAGGGGATAGGGGAGTGAGGGTAGGCGGTAGACAAGGACTCTGTGGCCAAGCCCCTTGGCTCATTTGGGGCCACAGAGTGAGGCTCTTGGGCCTTTAGACTCTGTAGCCACAATTAGCCATTCCTGCCACTGCAGCATGAAAACAACTATAGAAGGTATATAATTCAATGCATTTGGCTGTGTCCCAATAAAACTTTATTTACACACGCTGGCAGTGGGCCAGACTTGCTTGGTGGGGCTGTGGTTTGTGATTCCTGAACTACTTCATGCTCAGGGGTGCTCTCTTGGCTCTGCTGAAGGGTGAGTCTCAAGGAATCTGTGTAGTCTCTGAGACACCCCAGCCAAGAAGAAAAACGCCGATTCTGATGACTGAAGGTAGGCTTTGGAGCCAAGTGCAGGTGGCAGCCCTGGTCTCTTTGGAGCTGAAGTTTGCATGTGAGATGGGTGTTGCAGGTACAAAAGAACACAATCTGGAAGGTCACAGGTCACGTTACCTGGAAGACGAGTGCTGTGGGGAGCCAGCGGTGGAAACATCATGGTGAAAGCGGCTGGCTAGAAGCACAGTGGTCCTAGACCAGCAAAAAGCCCCAGCACCCATTCCTGGCCCCGGTTCCCGAGCAGGAAATTGGAGCTAGAGGGCGTGTCAGTGCTGTGAGATGAGCTGCAAGCAGGTGGCTCACTCAGCTTGCTGGTTGTTTGTCTCAGCCTGAGGGCACTATGACAGAATCCTGTGGGCTAGGAAGTGTGCAAGGGGCAGGACTTGGTCTCAGCCCCGGAGGCTGGGGACTCTATTTACATCAGGTTCCAACACCTCAGGCGGCTAAGGACAGTACCTTTTTTGTTTTGTTTTTTGTTTTTAGAGATTGAAAGGCAGAGTGGAACTGGGAGAGACAAAAGGGAATATTCCATCTTCTGATCCACTCTGCAAATGGTCACGGTGGCTGGGGCTGATGGACAGCACCTTCTTTCTCTCTCTCTCTCTCTCTAACACACACACACACACACACACACACACACATACATACATACACGAGGGCCAGTGTTGTGGCACAGCAAGTTAAGCAACTATGTGAAATGCTATAGTGGTACCCTCCTGTACTGGCAGATACCTTCCCCTCTCCCCTTGGCTTTCAGAGGCCCATTTCTTTTCTCGCCACCCCCAGGATTTGCCGGAGCAGCCTTACCTGCAGCCCCCACTCAGCATCCTGGTGATAGAGCGCCGGGCCTTTGGCCGCACAGTCCTGGTGGGATCCCACATTGTCCCCCGCATGATGCGGTTCATACTCCAGGGTCCTGAGGATGTCCCTGAGGAGGAGGAAGGAGAAGAGGAAGCAGGAGACCTGGTACCTCCCACAGGACCTCAAGGTGTGAGGCCCACTCCCTGGTGGTCAGCAGCCACCAGTCCTCTGGTTCCTGGCAGAGATGGCTCCAGGGCCATGGAGTCTGTCTCCAACTTGCCTGACCTGGTGTCATGTCCCCCTTCTAGAACCACAGGCGCTAGATGCCCCCATGGCTGAAGCAGGGCTATCCAGAGGATTCCTGAAGGTAGTGAGTGGGAAGGGGGCAGCAGTAGCGGGTAGGATTGGGGTGATGCTGGGTGAGGAGCCCTGAGTCCTTCCCCTTGCTCCCCTGAAGAAGCTCCCCTTAGGAGGCCTCCTGAATCAAGGCCCTGAACTGGAGGAGGACATCCCTGATCCTGAAGAGCTGGACTGGTGGTCCAAGTACTACGCGTCGCTGCAGGAGCTGCAGGGCCAGGTGGGTAGGGTGGGACGTGCGCCTTCCCGCTGCCCAGGCTGCGTGGTTGTACATAACTTCTCCCTGTGGTTATCTTTGCTCACCCTGGAAACAGCTCTAGCTCCATTATCTGAAGTTGGGTCGTCCAACAGAATCATGAAGTGAGCTGTATGTGTTGGTTTAGACTTTGCAGTAGCCACATTAAAAAAAAAAAAAAAAAGAGCAGGTCTTACAGCATGCAGTCAGGAGGCTGCTTGGGGCCTTCATGTCCCATGTGAGTGCTTTGGCTCAACCGTTAGCTCCCTGCTAATGCTCACCCTGGAGTGGGAGGGGGCAGCAGGTGGTAGCTTTAGTAGTTGGGTCCCTGACACTCACATGAGGGAAGTAGATTGCATTTCTTTCTTTAAAAAAAAAAGATTTATTTATTTATTTATTGGAAAGTCAGATATACAGAGAGGAGGAGAGACAGAGAGGAAGATCTTCCATCCAATGATTCACTCCCCAAGTGAGTGCAACGGCTGATGCTATGCCGATCTGAAGCCAGGATCCAGGAGCTTCTTCCGGGTCTCCCACATGGGTGCAGGGTCCCAAAGCTTTGGGCCATCCTCGACTGCTTTCCCAGGCCACAAGCAGGGAGCTGGATGGGAAGCAGAGCTGCCGGGATTAGAACCAGCGCTCATATGGGATCCCGGCAGGTTCAAGGCGAGGACTTTAGCCACCAGGCCATGCCACCAGGCCCAGTAGATTGCATTTCTGGGTCTGGAGTATAACACGGAAGGATGGGGCAGACATACTGTGCAGGGAGAAGCTACTGCTTGGGGTCCCCATGTCCTGTAACACAATGCCTGGGTTCAAGACCCAGTTCCATTTCCAATGTCACCTACCTACTGGTAGGTACCTAAAAGACAATGGTGACAGCTTAGGTACATGGCTCCTTGCCACCCACCTAGGAGACCTAGATTGAGGGGTTTTTTTCTTTTGCTTCAGTTATTTATTTACTTATCTATTTATTTTAAAGCAGAGATACAGAGAGAATCTTCCATCTTCTGGTTCACTCCCCAGATGGCTCTGATGGTCAGAGCTGGGCCTGTCAGAAGCCAGGAGATTCTTCCGGGTCTCCAACATGCGTACAGGAGTTCAAGTGCTTGGGTCATCTTCTGCTGCTTTCTCAGACCATTAGCAGGGAGCTGGATTGGGAGTGGAGTAGCTGGGACTCAAACCAGTGCCCAAATGGGATATTGGCACTGCAGGCAGAGGCTTTGTGTGCTATGCCACAGTACCACCCTTTGGATTGGGGCCTTTGTGACCCAAAATTAGCTGTTGTGGCATTCAGAGAATGGATGGAAGATCTCCGTGTCTCGGCTTTTCTCAAACAAAAAATGGGTAAAATTAATAATATATCTTATTTAGCTGAACATACTCAAAATGTCATCTAACAGTCATTATCAAAATTAATAATGAGATGTTTTACATTCCAATTTTCTTCTCCATCTTCATGTGTGATGTGTTTATACTCAAAGCATATCTCTGTTTAGGTGAGTCACATTTCTGGCAGTTGCTGCCTTGGTTCAGGACTAAGCAATAAACTGAAGCTTTGCAAATGCAAAGCTGGAATTTACCCAGCTGGAACCCAAGTCAGGACTTCACAGTTGTGTGTTTCAGATGAGGGATAGACTCAGGAGGGGAAGGAGGGGGAAGGCTCTGACAGGCCCTTCAATTTCAGCCCAACTTCGAGGAGGATGAAACAGATGATCCTGAAGATTCAGGTAAGAGTCCCCCTGTGTACTCCTGCTCCGCCTGCAGCACTCCACCGACTCAGACACCTGCCATGGGTGTACTGCTTCCAGGTGGGATCAACCTCACTTCTGTGGATGGGGAGGTCCAAGGCCAGCGTGAGGCTGAAGTCAGAGGCTCCATGACCCGGACGAAAACCATAGCCACCCTGAAGGTACCTGGGGTGTGGGGGAGAGGGAGTGCCCCGGTCCCGGGATGTGGGCCATCACAGAGGCCTGGCCTTTCAGATCTATAATAGGTCCCTGGAGGAGGAGTTCAACCACTTTGAGGACTGGCTGAATGTGTTTCCCCTGTACCGGGGGCAAGGCAGTCAGGGGGACGGAGACGGAGAAGAAAAAGACTCCGAGCACTTTATGGGCAAGTTCAAGGTGGGTATGGGGAAAGCAGGGGCCTGGGAGCATGGGCAGGGCTTGGGGAAAACATGAATCAGGGTCTTTTCTGTCTTCCCCACCACAGGGCTCCTTCCTTATTTACCCTGAGTCGGAGGCAACGTCCACTGAGCCCAAGATCTCACGGGGCATCCCCCAGAACCGGCCCCTCAAGCTGCTGGTCAGAGTGTATGTTGTGAAGGTGAGCAGGCTTCCCACCACCTCCAAGATTTTGGACATGAGAGCTCCACGGCAGAAGGCTCTAGAAGAAGCCTGACTTCTTCATCACTCAGCCAGGCCTCGGAAGGCATGAGTCAATGACACCCTCACCCAACCCCAACCTCACTGAGCATGCTCATGGCGCAGCCAGGCTCAGGCAGTAGGGAATGAGCTGACGCCCTAGTTCCAGCAGTGTGGTACTTGCTGATAGGACACATCTCGAAATGCCAGGTGACAGGTCTTTGAGAGGAATGCTAGGCTCAGGACAGGGAAATCCCAGCAGGCCCCAGAGAAGAGGTAGCTGGAATCCCAACTGGGTGGGAGACTAGTCCTGTGGCTCCTGGATCCAGAGCCATGGTCCTGACCCAGGTATGCTGGGCCGGGAGCTGGAACTGAGGCTTTGCATGAAGCAGGAGGTAAGGAATGGAGGACAAGGGCAAGCCCACTCCTCTGTCCTTAGGGGAGGGAGAAGCAGAGACGGGTGACTACCCTGAGAACCAGTTATTTGCACTTTGCCTTCACATTGATTTAAGGCTTGAATTTCTACTATCTGCTTAGACATCCAGAAAACTCAAAGCAAAAGATTGGTTCAGAGTGGTCCCAAACCTGGACTCACAGTTGCCAAAGAGTTATATAATCAAACTGGAACCCATATACAAAGTTACAAAACTATTGGGAAAAATTGGCCAGAGAAACAACATAAAAGAGACGCTTAAGGGCTTCAGGTGTTAGCGTGTGAATCAAACACTTCAGATATTTCACAGAGAGCTCTCCAAAGTGAGCTGGCAGTTTGGGGAACAGCCAAATATAATTTCTAAAAATGAGAGAGAACAAATGTAAACTTATACTAAATACCCATTTATGGATGAAAGGGTTTGTGAGCTACAGTGGACAACTATGCAGTCATAACAAATGATGGGTCAGATCTCTATGAACACATAGAAATAGTTTCCAGAAGGTACTGGAAAGAGCAAAGAACACCTGTAGTCTGCTGTTCTTTGTATAAGGAAGTACAGCTGTGGTAGAAATGCAGGAGGAGAAGATTCCTAGGAAGGAGGAGTGGCCAAGGGTGGACAGAAAGGGAGGAGGTTAGCAGGAATGAGGACACAGTGACACTTCCCAGTGTGCAGACACAGCGTCCTCAACCCACCAAAAGTTGAACATATTGTATGTGGGAAGTTATCTTAGCACACCTATCTGCTGAGTGTCATAGCTCACCTTGCATGCACTGCACTCAGAACACCTGCCTCTGCGCAGGGTCATCAAACTCAAAGCTATTTAAATAAGTTTTAAGGTTCCCCCCCCCCTTTGTTGTCTGAAGGACAGAGATCTTCTACCTGCTGATTCACTTCCCAAATGGCCTGCAACAGCCAGGACTGGGTCAGGCTGAATCCAGGAGCCCAAACTCAAGTACTTGAGTCATTAGCTGCTACCTCCCAGGGTGCATGTTAGCCAGAAGCTACACTGGTAGTGGAGGAACCATGACTTGCACCAGGTACTTTGCTTTTTTGAAAGATTTTTTATTGAAAGGCAGAATACAGAGAGAGTAGGAGAGACCAAGATCTTCCATCTGCTGCTTCACTTCCCCAGATGACCATGGCGGCCAGAGCTGGGCTGCTTTGGAGTGGGAGTGGCCTCCAGGTCTCCCATGGGAGTGCAGGGGTCAATGGACTTAGGCCATCTTCCGCTGCCTTCCCAGGTCATTAGCAGGGAGCAGGATTGGAAGTGGAACAGCAGCAACTTGAATCAGTACCCACATAGAATGTCAGTGCCATAAGTAGAGGCTTAGCACTATATCATGGTGCCAGCCCCAAACCAGGCACTTTAAAATGGGGTGCAGGTACCCCAAAGCAGCATCTTAACCATTGTGCTAAATTCCCGTCCTATAAGTCCTATTTTTTTTAAATTATTTTTGTTAGGCAAAATTCAGACAGGAGATACAGAAAGTTCCATCTACTGATTCACTCCCCAAGTGGCCTCAAAGGCTGGAGCCGAGCCAATCTGAAGCCAGGAACCAGGAACTTCTTATGGGTCTCTCATGTGGGTGCAGGGTCCCAAGGCTTTGGGCTGTCCTCAACTGCTTTCCCAGGCCATAGGCAGGGAGCTGGATGGGAAGTGGAGCAGTCAGGACACGAACCGATGCCCATATGGGATCCCATCCCAGTAGATGCCAGGCAAGGACCTTAGCCACTAGGCTACTATGTCCGGCTCATAAGCCCTATTTTAAAATGAAAATTTTACTGTTTCTTGCAATTTATTGAATATTGTACTGAAATGAAAGCCAGAATGGTTGGATGGGTATATGTTTACACACTTTGTGGCTGGTGAGGCTCATGGACCAGATGGCTGCCACTGAAGGGTGGGTGGCAGTGCCAATGTGGGAAGGTCGCTCTGGATCTGGTTTCCAGGTCAGGGAGCCCAGGCAGAGCCAGGCAGGGGCACAGGGAAGCCAGGTGGGGCACAGGGAAGCCAGGCCGGGAGCCCAGGCAGAGCCAGGCAGGGGCACAGGGAGCCCAGGCAGGGGCACAGGGAAGCCAGGCAGAGCCAGGTGGGGCACAGAAATCTCTTTCTGGGAGTGTGTGTGCCAGAATTTGAGTGCTTTGAGTTTTGTTGTTTTCATTAAACCTATTCATGTGGTTAAGGAATCCTAAAGTTGTCTGAAAGGAAAAGCAGTCATTTGGCCATCCCCAGCCGATTCCTGCGGCAGTCCCTCCCTGGACGGCTCTACTCCTTCAGAGCCTAGGTCTGGCGAGCGTAACCTTGTGCTGCAACCACACTACCCTAGGCTACCAACCTGGCTCCCGCGGACCCCAATGGCAAAGCAGACCCCTACGTGGTGGTGAGCGCTGGCCAGGAGAGGCAGGACACCAAGGAGCGCTACATCCCCAAGCAGCTCAACCCCATCTTTGGAGAGTGAGGCTGGGGCCTAGGCATTGGGGATGGGGAAGAACTCCACCTTGACCCACGTGGAGCCCTGCCACTCCTGGAGCTGGCATAGCAATGGGGAGGGGCGGAAATGGTCAGAGGCTTCGGGTCTCTCCCCACCCCAGGCCACCTCCCAGGGCAGGGAGAGGTTCTCAACTCCATTCCCTCCTGCCAGGGTCCTGGAGCTCAACATCTCACTCCCAGCTGAGCCAGAGCTGACCGTGGCCGTGTTTGACCATGACCTTGTGGGTTCCGACGACCTCATAGGAGAGACCCGCATTGATGTGGAAAACCGCTTCTATAGCCACCACAGGGCAAACTGTGGACTGGCCTCCCAGTATGATGTGTGAGTCTGGCAGGGCCCTGACCAACCGCGGCTTCAGGGACCCGTGATGCCTTACAGGGGACCACTTTCCAACTGTGATGTGACCACTCAGTGGCCAACCCCTGAGTATGGGTGCTAGGGACTCAAAAGTCACTAGAATGGCCTCTTTGAGCCCCAGTGTCCTGGTCATTCAGTGTGTCCCAGAAGCACATGTGCCAGCCGGCTCTGACTTTTGTCATTACCCCCTGCTGTGGCTCTTCATGGGCTCCAGCTAAAGCATCTTCCACTTGCAGGGATGGGTACAATACATGGCGTGATGCCTTCCGGCCGTCACAGATCCTGGCAGGACTCTGCCAGCGCTGTGGCCTCCCTGCCCCCGAGTACCGAGCAGCGGCTGTCAAGGTGGGCAGCAAAGTCTTCCCGACACCACCCGAGACCCTGCCCCAAGGTACCAGCCCTGACTGTGCTACACAGGCAAGGCCCGGGGCCCTGGGGGTTGGTTCAGCGGGATTCCAAGGTGCCACCTTCCCTCTTTGAGTAGGCACAGGTGTTTGGAGGGTGAAGAAGAGGCCAAGCCCAGGGCCCTTCCAGCTGGGGAGCTGAGCGCTGGCCAGCAATTACCAGCACAGCCTGCCATGTGTGCCCCAGGACCCTGCCCCACCCGGGGAATTCATCCAACACAGGCTGCCTCAGCTTAGCATTTCGTGATAGGATGGCAGGTGGCAGCTGTGTGAGACCCCAGCTTGCATGTTCCCTGTTGCAGGCGGTGGGGCCGGTGGCACTGTGGAGGAGGCCCAGGCACTGCTGGTGCTGCAACACTGGCAGGAGATGCCAGAGCTCGGAATCCAGCTGGTGCCCGAGCATGTGGAAACACGGCCCCTGTACCATCCCCGCAGCCCGGGGCTGCTGCAGGTGAGGGTCCTGCCCCACCCCACCTCACCAAGAAATCCCAAGACTCCCAGGACTCAGATCTCCTTAACATGGGCCTGGACCCAGGCCCCAGGATGCCCCAACCTCCCCTGGGGCCTGCATGCCAGCTCCTGTGGCTGGTGCCCACCTTCCTGGCACCAGTCTAGGACCTGTCTCCTGGAACCCTGTCCCCTGACTCTTGTCCTGCAGGACCACTCCCTGACCCTATGCCTCCAAGGCTCAGTGCTGGGGCTCCCGATCCAGCCCCTTTCCCTATCCCAAACTGTAGTTTTGATCTCAACCTTCCATTGCTGGCCACAGGGCTGGTGGCGGGCTGGGAGGAGCCTAGCAAGGCCCTTGCAGCTGGCCCTGTGCCCCCAGGGTTCTCTGCACATGTGGATTGACATCTTTCCCCGTGATGTGCCTGCCCCGCCGCCCGTGGACATTAAGCCTCGGCAGCCAATCAGGTGAGAGCCCTGCTCCCATGGAACAGCGCCCAGCTGGGTCTCTGCCAATGCAGGGTCCCCTGAGAACCCACACACCTGAGGATGCAGGCTTTTTCTTTAGAGAAGCCATTAAGTTTTACTTTTGTGTCTGCTTTTGAGTGAGTATCTGCTCTTTGTGATGTCAGAACCCCCCCCTCCAACCTGAGTTGGTGTGAAGAGTGTCCCCATGGTGGTGGCAGGCAGCAGGGGGGCACTTCCACAGGGCTGGACCCTGCCCTCTTGCTCTGGACTCTGCTGCCCTGTGCCCCTGGGGGCAGCTTGCTGTAGCAGTACCAGGTCTGCATCTTACCAGCCCAGCCACTTGAGCAGAAGCTAGTCCTCCTGGCCTCGGGCACCTACTGCTTCCTGAACCAACCCTCTTGGCCAGCAGGGGTTATGGGGGTGCAACACCCAGACTGGCCCATCCTGGCAGAACCAGGCAGAGCTGCCCCATCATGGTCCCAGACACTGCCAGTTTGGCTTGAGGGTAGGGAGTACTAGCAGAATGTCAGGTGCCACCAATTAGAGGGGGAACTGACCCAGGCCCAGAGCTGTCCAGGCCACCTGCCCATGTCAGCCAGGGACCTGAGGGACAATCCAGAACTTCATAGCCCCTTCCCTTGCCCAAGGGACATGCTCACTGTCTCCCTACTCCTGCTGCTCTCTGCTCTGCCCATTGGTGTCCTGTACCTCAGAACCTCATCTGGCACACTGCTTTGGTTTGTGGTGGCTCCAGCGCTAGGTTTGACTCCACAGTCCTGGGAGGGAAACCTCACTGGCCCTGCAGGGTATTTCTGGGGCCCTGCACCATGCGCAGGGGCTGGGGTGGGTGTGAAGGTCAGTGGTGCCTGGGTTGGCCCTTCCCAGGACCACAGGCATCCTGGTGCCCAGCCCAGGGGCCTAGGGCTTCCCTGCTCCTGGCAGCCCCTCAGAGATGCAACCCCAGTGTCCTTTCCGCCACGCCCAGCTATGAGCTCCGCGTTGTCATCTGGAACACGGAAGATGTGGTTCTGGATGACGTGAACCCACTTACCGGGGAGATGTCAAGTGACATCTATGTGAAGAGGTAGGTGTCACCCTCTGTGGTCCTCAAGCCCTCTGTGGGAGAGGCTGTGCCCCAGCCTTGCTCCAGCCCAGGCCCAACCCTTCTGCTGGCCACAGCTGGGTGAAGGGACTGGAGCACGACAAGCAGGAGACAGATGTGCACTTCAACTCCCTCACCGGGGAGGGGAACTTCAACTGGCGCTTCGTGTTCCGCTTCGACTACCTGCCCACTGAGCGGGAGGTCAGCGTCCGGCGTCGGCCAGGACCCTTTGCCTTGGAGGAGGCCGAGTTCCGGCAGCCAGCTGTGCTGGTGCTGCAGGTCTGGGACTACGATCGCATCTCGGCCAACGACTTCCTGGGTATAGCTTGGCCTTCCCAGCCCCACGCCCCGTCTGCCTCAGGGCCTCTACCCTGCTTACCCTCTTCCTCGGCTCCCTATTCTGCCCCTTTGCTGGCATCCTGGCATCCCACCACTCAAGGCCAGAATGCGCTAACTACTGACTTTATTAAGCCCTGACTATGGTTGCCTGCTTCTGCCTCACTGACTTAATGATCGCTCAGGTCACCCTGCCCATGACCCGGTGGCTACTGGTCCTTGCTTTGGGAATCTCTTCTCGGCCCTCGGCCCTCTCCCACTTGCTGGGGGGTGGGACTGTGGTCTCCAGCTCACATCTAACCCACGGAGCTCTGATCCCACAGGATCCCTGGAGCTGCAGCTACCAGACATGGTGCGGGGTGCCCGCAATGCCGAGCAGTGCTCTGTGCGGCTGGCCCGCGACGGGGCTGGGCCCAGGTGTAATCTGTTCCGCAGCCGTCGGCTACGGGGCTGGTGGCCGGTGGTGAAGCTACGGGAGGCCGAAGACTTGGAAAGGGAGGAGCGGGAGGCCCAGGCTGGCAAGAAGAGGAAGCGCAAGAGGAGAAAGGGCCGGCCGGAGGACCTACAGTTCATAGATTCAGGCGGCAATGTCTACATCCTCACGGTGGGTGCGACTGGGCCGGGGAGCCAGGACGGCTGGGGTCAGGCCAGAGCAGGGCCTTAGCTCCTGATGACGTGGGAGGGCCTCTTCCCAGGGCAAGGTGGAGGCCGAGTTTGAGCTGCTGACTGTGGAGGAGGCTGAGAAGCGGCCTGTAGGGAAGGGGCGGAAGGAGCCAGAGCCGCTGGAGAAGCCCAAGTGAGTGTGGGGCTGGGGAGGCAAGGACCAGGAGGGATGGAGAGGGTGCATGGCCAGAGGGGCTTCCTCCCCTTGTCCTCACACCCTTTGCCCCAACAGCCGCCCCAAAACCTCGTTCCACTGGTTTGTGAACCCACTCAAGACGTTCGCCTTCTTCATCTGGCGCCGGTACTGGCGCATCCTGGTGCTGCTGCTGCTGCTGGCGCTCATCACCGTCTTCCTGCTGCTGGTCTTCTACACCATGCCCGGCCAGATCAGCCAGGCCATCTTCAGCCCGCTCCACAGGGCCTCCAACTCCAACTGACCTGTGGCTCCAGCACGGTGCCAGCCCTTCAGCTCCAGCCCCTGTAGTCCCCTGGTCCCATCTGAGCCAGCCCAGTCTGGTACCTTCTCTGAATAAACCTCATCATTCTTCTGCTGCCACCCCAACTATGCACTGTGTGAGACCAGCACTTGCAGGTGGTGTGGGATCCAGGTGCTTGTGGTGGTCTTGAGGACTAGGGGTCTATGGGGAGAATGCACAGGGCAGCCTCCTGCCACAGTGTAGGGGGCTCAGGGCTGGGTCGTGCCCTCTGGGCAGTTGGCCATCACTCCTGACCCTGTGTGGTGACAGCCCTCTCACCTGATGTGCCAAGATTTAGCTTGCTGGCTTTGGGATTCAGACAGCATCACCCAAATCAACACTGCCTCCTGGTCTAGCCCTGCTGTCCCCTGGTGAAATGGGCAGCCAGGTTTTGGAATTTCAGGGCCAGCAGCACTGTCACCACCATCACATGCAGAAGGAAGCCTTCCCGCTGTGCCACAACCTGGCTGGTGCCGGCTCATGGCAACAGGATGAACTAAGTGAACTGTGTGTCTCCCCAGGACCTCAGGGTAGGAGACAAACCCTCTCCAGGGCTACCTTAGCTGGGATAGGGGTTCCCAGAGGAAGTTCAGGATCCCGGGGGGCAGAGGGGATGGTTGTTGGGCAGCTAAAAAGATGGCCCAGTGTGCTGGTGCATTCCTGGGGCGGTGCTTGCAGATTACAGCGCACTCTCTTGTTTGCGCAGCTCCCGCAGGGCACGTCAGACTGCTTTCCAGGTGAGACTGCAGTGGTTTTACTGTCACCATCTTCTTGTTCCCCTGTGGCCTTATGTGGAAGCTCCCTACAGTGGGAGCATGAATCCCCAGGAGGGAGTGGGAGGTCTCTGGGCCTGGGTTCTGCCCTGCAGGCAGGGGCCGGCTGCTAGCCCTGCTCTGGGATGGCCACTGCTATCTCTGCCCTGACAGCAAGGGCCTGGAGAGAGCCACATGGGGCTTGGCCAGGGCGGGGTCAGTGAACATTAGCAGCTTGCTGACTGAGCTCAGGGTGGCAGGGAGTAGAGGTGACAGCCCCACCGGTACCTGGAACCCTGCAATGGTGGCCTTGGTGTGGCCTGCATCAGCCTGGGGGCCAAGGTGGCTTCCAGAAGCTTCCCCTGAGGTCTGAAGGCCATAGAGGGAGGCATGAGGACAGGGCTTTGCAGTGGACAGCCATCTGGATAAAGCCTGTATGACCAGGGGAGGCCCACAGGAGGTGCCCAGAGGAGCCTGGGGTCCTGGCCTGTCAGTCACAGTTGTCCTCTGTGAGTGACTGAGGAGAGGCTTGTTCCTGGACTGCAGCTGAACAAAGGACCACACTGAGACCCGCAAGTACTATCACAATCAATAGATTTAACAACCTGGCTTGGGGCTGGATCTGAGGTGAAGGGGTGATGCTGCAAGAGGCAGGGGTACAGCCACAGGCTGCAGAGAAACAGGGGGGTGGCCGATGGAGGGGAGGGGGCACTACGTCGTCTTTCCAAGGTCGATTTTCTTCTGGATGGCTCGTGCCGAGTGGTAGATGAGCGAATCGATGAGTCCAGCCACTGGCAGAGAGATAAGGGCTGGTGGCAGCCTGGCTGGGCCCCTGTCTTGACCTCAAGAGCATGGGCACCCCACCGGCTGGGCTGCCAGTTCCCTTTGGTCCTCAAGGGGTTCTAAGGTTCCCTGGGGGCAACCTTCCCCACCGCACCGCAGCCAGCAGCCGCCCTGAGGCTCTTACCTGTGAACATGCCCCCAATGATGGCGCACACGCCAGTCAGGAAGTGAGTGAAGGACCTGGCAGGGGAGTGGGTGGGCTCAGTGGGCACCCTAACCCCTTCTCCCCACCACTGGCCTTGCCCGCCCTCACCTGTGCTTCTCTGTTAGCTTCACCATCATGGGCGAGAGCTCATACAGCACGAAGACCCCAGGCAGTCCCTGGTCGCCCAGCAGGCCATTGGCGACCTTCTCATGTCTGGTCACAGAGAACTGATTTGTCCTCAGCACCTGGGAGGGAGGGCAGCCTGGGCAGGGCAGGGCAGGGCAGGGGAGGGCAAGTCCTGTGCTACCCAAGGAGGGAGTGCTTGGTGCTGGCGGCTACTGCTGCTCCCAGCCTTGCCACCCTGACACCCCTGCCAGCCCCAGCACTTGGTAGATGTTGTCTCTGGGGGCCCAGGGATGGGAAGCAGCTCTCCGTGGCCGCAGCCACAGGCTGGACCTGAGTGCCTCATTATAGGCTGCTTAGAGACACTGCTCCACAGGCTGGCAGGGAGCAGTGGGACCTTGTCTTGGCTCACCCCCAGCCTGGGACAGACCATAGGGGCAGGATGCAGAAGTCAACAGGGGCAGTGGGGACAGGGCAGGAGGAACAGAAGGGACAAGTGCCTTGTAGGCCAACAGCCCCAAGACCCAACCTCCGCCTGGGAAGCAGCTTCCCTCACCCTGTCAGCCTGTTTCCCAGCACACAGCGGGCAATGTTACACACATTCCTGGATGTGGTCACAGCAGGCACCTCTGCCATCCACACGCCCCACTCACCTCCCCATCCACTTTCATATACACGGTGGGGACGACCTTCACGAAATACTGGAACATCATGGAAGCTGCAGAGAGAAGAGAGTGAGGGAGATGGTTACCAGGCAGGACCCTGGCGGTGGGGGCCACCTCCCAGGCTGGTACCTTGTGGTGCAGTGACGTTGGTGTGGTCCAGGGGGTTGACGATGCCCGGGTAGTCCTCCCCGAATGACAGGTGCTGGATATAGTGGGTCATGTTGATCTGCAGGCAACACCAAAGCCTGAGATCCCACACCATGCCCCGTCCGACCCTCCCAGCCAGGGGCAGAGGCTGCCTGGACTTCTCTGGGTAGTCAAGGCAGAAGGGAGGGGGCAGGAGAAGGCATTTCCTGAGGCTTTTCCATGGGAATTCTCTGCACCCAGCCTGTGGGCTCCCAGGTTTCACACCCCACGTCAGGTATGCATGGCTTGGGCTCTGGCCCTGAGTGGCAGCTGCCAACCTTGCCTACAGGTCTCTACTCCCTCAGGCTCAGGCTGCAGGACCCCAGATTGGTTAGCTGTACTCCTGCTCCAAATCCTATCCTCAGCAGCTAGCTTCCCCTCCAGGAGGGGGCAGAGCCGCCAAAATGGCCCGTGTCCTGCCAACTCTTCAGATTCACCTGTCCCACTGGTCCTGGGCACCCCCCAAGGGTCCTGTCTGCCCTCTGTCAAGGATGCTCTTCTCCAACCCTGGCTGCCCCCTCCCCTGCCACCTGCTCAGGTCTCCGATCAAAATTGCTCTCCTTTAAGTACATGTCAAATCCCTGTGAGAACAGGGGGCATTTTCTCCATAGGCTCCCCCAGCCCAGGATGTCCCCACATCAGGCCCCCAACCCCCATGGGGCCCCAGGGCACATACGTTGTCGAGGCCGAAGCTCTGCAGGTCATGGACTAGGAGGGAAGAGACAAAGTGTCACGGGCAATGACCCTGTGCCTCCCCAGAGTCCCTGCCTGGACTTCCTCACTCCCACCCTCTGAAATGTGACCCGCTGGGCTCTTCTGTGATGTCCCCCATTCACCCTGTGGCCTGGCATCCCAGGTCCTGCTGACCAACCAGAGAGGGTGAGCCATGGGCCTGGGCAAGCCTGTGCCTTTCTTAGGGGTCACTGGCACACAGGTCCTGCTTACTTCCAAACACACAGACTCAGGTGTGTTTCCCTGCTGAGGCTTTGCCTGCGTCACACAAATAATACCCACCCACTCTCAGCCTCTGTTTAACACTGAGGCTGCCATGCCCTTGCCCACCCACAGATGGAAACCCCAAAGGGTCCCGTGCAAGAACAAGTCCCAGAACAAGTCCTTCCTGCCTCCTACCCCCGGGCCTTCTGCTGCAAGGAATGCCACCTCTAAGACGCATCCTAGGGCCAGTACCATCACACAGGGGCTGGGCCTGGGCAGGTCCCAGACCCAGACCCGTCCACACACCACCCCCCAATCCTAGGAGGGCAGCCTGCCCCCAAGGGCCACTTACTCTCCACAGCATGTACTGCAGCAAAGGGAGGCGAGCAGAGAGGGAAGAAGGGAGAGAACAAAAGATTCAGACAAGAACAGTGCAGCAAGGGGGAGAGGCAGGAGGGGCTGGCCTGCGTCAGGCCTCCACCTGTCCCCTCCTCAAGGGAGCTCTTCCACGGCCAGAGGGTGTGAGCACCTTGGGGACAGAAGCAGAGTGACCTGAAAGAAGCCCTGAGCCCCAAGAGCTGCTGTCCAGCACAGGCTGTTAACAGGTGAGAGCTCAGATTACACACACACACCCCACCATGAGGACATCTGCCTCCAGCTATGAACAAAGCAACTGTGTGTTGGGACATCCTTCCGCATACTGCGCTCTGGGCCTGGGTGGGCCTGGGCCGGTGGATAACAGCCCCAGGTGGAGGGCTGCTTCCATTGAGCCCTGGCTGACAGTTTGGCATGTGTCATCCGACCAGCTGCAGCAGCTTCCTCTCAGGCCCCACAGGGTTCTGCAGACACACCCATGGGTGACCCCTCAATGCCTGCAGGATCGCATGCTGCCTTCACTCCACACCCTGTTAAACTTCCTCCCCTCCAGCCCCTTGTCATGGCCTGGCTCTTGGCTCCCGTCTCTGCTGAGTCCTCCTGCCAGGCACCGGGTGCTCATTCTGCAGTACCAGCCCCTGAATACCTGTGGCACCCTCCGCTTCAACCACAGCCCCCAGCCCCCTGAGGGCAACTATTTCTTTTCCATTCCTGTACTTTTCTTGGGCTTAGAGCCCCTGCCCCTTACTGCCACCTTCAGCTCACTGTCCCCCATCATACCCAGCAGATGACCTTGCTACAAACATCACAGAAAACACCAACACCCAGCCCTGCATGCAGTGCGCCCACCACCCCCGCTCCCCGCCCACTGCACTAGGGCTAGGCCCAGGGCCTTGCTTGCTTCCCCCTTCACGAGGCCCCGACTCCAGGCCCATCCCTCTCAATGTTTCGTGGGCCCCTCTGTAGCCTGTCACTTTTGACACTATTTACCAGTCTGCAATGTCACCTACCGGAGAAAAGCCCCCTGTCGGTCCACGTTTCAATCTGGGAGGTGCCATCTCTCTTCATTCCTCCTAAACCCCTCCTATGTGATCCCTAATACTCTGCCCAACGGCTCTGTCCAGACAATATATGGCCACCACGCCACACACCCCCATCCTGTACCCCAGGATGTGAGAGTTCTGAAGCCTCTCCCCCCAGCAGCAGCACAACCTTCACCTGGCATGTACCCCTACCTCCCCAGTGTCTCAGGAGAGGAGGCGTGGCACTTAGCTCTGTACTCCCCTCTTCCTATCTACCCCATCGCAGGGCAGATACACTGCCACCTCCAACCCTGGAGCATCCAGACCTGTCTTGTCCCGGCACTCCAGGCTGCAGAATCCACAGCTGGTCTGGAAGAACACCCAAATAAATCCCACTGGCTAGAACATCAATAGCTGAATGTCTGCCTTATGCCACTGCCTGCCATTGTCAAGCCCTGTCCCCCCACGCCCCGTCTCCTACATTGAGGTGCAGGCCATTCTTGACCCCTCCTGCTATCACCCCTCACATCTACTGGTTTTGCCTTCACTTGCTGCCACGTGGCCCAACCATGGAACAGTTGCTCGGATTCTGATCCTCCCATCCCCTGGCTTCTCAGAGCAGCCAGCTGTGTCCCTTTTAACAGCCGTGCCACATTGCACACGGCTTCTACAAGTGTTCACGTGGCCTCCCCTCTCATTCGGCATGGAAGGCCAGCTTCCCACATGCCTTGCCCAAACACCTGCACACAAACACAGCCATGCTCTCTGCTCACACCTGACTGTCCTGCTGCAGCCTGGGCTTACCTGAGGGTCTTCCATTCCCCAAGGGAACTTCTCCTCAGGCATCCATGAGGCAGGCTGCTGGCCTCCTTCTCATCTCTGCTCAAATATCACTCCAGCAGAGTGTCCCCGCCATCCTGCTAAGAACAGCACCCCTGCGCCAGCCCTCTGAGCCCTTGCCTCCACCATGCTTATCCTACCTCGTGGCAGATCACAGTACTTAACACAGAATACACACTGCACATCCTTGCTCCTTGACTCGTTCCTTGCTAGATGTTCTGAGAGCACAGCTTGGTTCCCTGTTGTCTCAGCGCTAAACCAGCATGCTGGCCATAGGGGATGGCTAAGTCAAGTGGATGCACAGCAGAACACAGGTAAGCACAAGCCAGTTAACTCTCCCATACCACTTCACAGAACAGACTAACTAGGATGGAACACAGCTCATGAGCTGCCAGATCTATATTCCAACCCTGCTCTGTTCCCCCAAAGCCACATATCACTTGGCTCTCTTATGAGCAAACGCCTACCACAGGCAGGCTCTGGGCTTCCAGTTTTACCTGGTGAGAAAAAAACCATCACCACCATCTTTATGTAGAACACTGAAGCCCACAAATGCTCCCTAAGGCACAGAACCAGTAAGCACTGAGACGGGTCCCCACCCCCAGATGGGCTGCCCCGAGATGAGGGTGTCCTCTGGACCGAGACAGTGAGTAGGTGAGGGGCCTCTAGCTTGCCGAGGGGTCCGGGGCCTGGACCTCTCTGCTGGACAAGGGATCACTCACCATGGACATGAGACTGCTGGAAGCTCTTCCCGGGGGCAAAGTGGAAGTTCCCAGCCACCTGCAAGGGACAGTCTTCTTATTCTGCAGCCATGTCTTCCTCGCACCCACAGAGGGCCTCAGTGGCCCCTCTGTTCACTGTGGCACTCTTCCCAGCCCAGCTGAGCCCGGCTCATTTGCCTGGTACCTTGTTGACTTCCAAGAAGCCATACACCTGGCAACCTTCATTCTTCTGCTCCTGCATCTTCTGGCTGAAGCCCTCTCTCCGGCACTGCTCGATGGTATCTGGGTTCTTGAAGGCCCAGCCTCGGCGGCGATAAGCTTCCCGCACATCTTCACACGTGTTACAGCACCTGCAACAGTGTGTGGGCTGAGTGTCCTTGAGGTACAAGGCCAGCACAGGTACAGTGGCAAACAAATCTGCAGTGCCTGCCTGCACTTGACGCCTCAGCTAGCTTCATGCCTGACCCCCAAATGTGTTTCCTGAGGGGCAACATGACTCTTAAAATATGTATTTCCAACAAAATGTTTTATAAAAAGCAATCTGTATTCCCATTCTTCTTGAAGTGCTATCAAGTTTGGAATAGCTGGTAGTGATGGATGTACACTGGGAATGTACTTGACACCACCGAGTTGTGCACTTAGAAGTGGTAAACTAGGGGCTGGTGCAATGGCTCAACTGACTAATACTGTGCCTGCAAGAGCTTGGATCCCATAAGAGCATTGGTTCATGTCCCAGCTGCTCCACTTCCCATCCAGCTCCCTGCTTGTGGCCTGGGAAAGCAGTGGAGGATGGCCCAAAGCCTTGGGACCCTGCACCGGTGTGGGAGACCCGGAAAGAAGTTCCTGGCTTCAGCTCGGCACAGCACCAACTGTGGTGCTCACTTGGGGAGTGAACCATCAGATGGAAGATCTTCCTCTCTCTCTCCTCCTCTCTGTGCATCTGCCTTTCCAATAAAACAAATAAATCTTAACAAAAACAAACAAGAGAAGGAGAGACAAAAAGAGCTCTTCTATCCACTAGCTTACTCCTCAAATGGTTGTGAGGTCCAAAGCCAGGAGCTTCTTTAGGGTCTCCCATGTGGCTACATTGGCCTAAAGCACATGGGCCATTCTCCATTATGTCCCCAGGTTGTAAGTGGAAGTGGAGTTTCTGGGACTCAAACTGGTACCCACATGGGATGCCAGCACAGCAGGCAGAGGCTTTAGCCACTGTGTCGCAGTGCTGGCCCCTATGAGAACTCAGGGCTGCACCAGGCCGCAGGACTCCACAGGGTACCTCTGATTTACCTCTCCAGGCTGATGAGCAGGGATCACAGGGCAAGCCCTTGTCACAGAGCCTCTGCTGCCTGCACCGCATCAGTGGTTCAATACCACATCCAAGCCCCTCCTTTCTAACCCCTTGGCTCAGACTTCCTGCAGATCTCAGCAAGAGGACACTGCAGCCTCCAGATGTGCCTGATGTCGCCTGCTCCCTGCCTAAGGCAGCCACTCACTTGATGTCTTCAGACTCCGCGCCATAGCAGCTCTCACAGCGGTCGGGATCCAGGGAGTTCGGGTCGAACACGGTCACCTCGATCTTGCCGAGCTCTGAGGGGAGGGCAGAGGCACAGCTAGGAGCGGCACAGGGATGTGGGTGACCCTGGCCCTCCGGCCAGCAGCCCATAGTACTTCCAGCTGATATTTACCAAGCGATACCGACTATATATTTCTAAACACAGACTGTTTAAATGAAATTAAACATAAGGAAACAGGCCTGGGAAGTACTAAATGCCAGCTGGGACACATGACCTTCTTCACCTCACTTCACATAGGACAGCTCTCTTAGGGTGGAGGGTGTCCCGGAAAGACTTGCTCACTGGAAGGGACTGCACCAGGATGGCCTACGGCGGGGCATCTTCAGCTCTAACCACATGCCCACACCGCTGGGCCAGACTGGTGGTCCTCAGGGCCCTCCCTCATACCTAGTTCCTGCTTCTCTCCCAAACATGTGGTCTCAACAGTCAGTGGTGATCTACCCAATTGAAATGCCAGACTCAGAACCCTAACCATGAAGGGGCAGAAGATGGAACAAGTTAATCAACCACCTCAGCTATAGGTTGGCAACAAAATACCGGGCAAATAGAGACGCTCTGATGGACAATGTCAATTAATGGATTTTTCAACAACCTCATCGTGTTTGGAGAGGCAAGATTGGCAGCAATTTCAAAACTGGTGACCTATTGAAACCACTTCAACGAGTATCTCGGAGCACGCCCCACATGCGGGACTTGGGGTGGGTGGGAAATCAGGTGGGGCTTCTCTCTCAATATCCCCCTGTACCTCAGATATATGAAGGAAACAATATGGAAATAATAGTCTTACCCACTTTCCTGTAGCCCTTGACCCTTTATGCACAAATTAACCATGTAAAGATTGTTAAAATAAAAAATATTAATAAAAGAAATATATACTGTATCTGAAACCACAAAAAAAAAAAACCAAAAAAAAAAAACAGTCAGTACCTGGGCTCTCACTGCCAATAATATTCTTACTGCATCATTCTCCCCGCCCCCTGCTACCCATCTCCATGCAGACATAGAACTTGGCGTTAGTGAAAACCACAAACCTCCCAAAACTCAATTTTAACACTTGGAGTTTTTGCTGACTTTCTCCTTGTTTTCCAGATTCCTTTCCCTGGGACCTGACAGCCACCAACTCTCAGATGCCATGAAAACATGCACCTCCTCACGTCCTCTCCTCCCTTGCCAAGTTCCATGGACCATGGTTCTCCTATCCTCACACTTCACCGTCTCTCCTCCTTGGCTGCACAAGCCTAGCTTCCTAGGCAAAGCGAAGCCCCAGTTAGATTCTGTGCTTACTCTGACCTGTTACTACCTTAAGGAAGCCTGGTAATTCTGTCATCACCCTCACCAGGCTAATTTATACCCGTTCCTCTATCTTTGGGGTTTCAAAACAATCCCCCCAACCCTTTCTTTACTCTTAGCTAACAGTCCACAATGGCAGGGCTAAACCAGGAGCCAGGAGCTTCATCTAGGTTTCCCCTGTGGAGTGCAGTGGTCCACACCCTTGCGCCATTGTCCACTGCTTTTCCAATGCCATTAGCAGGGAGTAGGATCAGATCAGCAGTGAAGCAGCTGAGACACAAACCAGTATCCATATGGGATGTTGGTGTCACAGGCAGCAGCTTTACCTGCTATGCCAAACACCAAGCCTCCCCATTCTTCTGGAAATTCTTTCTCATTTGGCTTCTGGAACACTTTTTGGATCTCTCCTACTTCAGTAGCTAATCTCACTTAGTCCTTCTTGGACACCTATTTCCAGGAGAGGGTGAGGATACAGTTACTAGAAATCTCCTTTATCTTCTTTCACCTGCAGGGCTTCCCCCCTTAGTCTGGTGCTGTAACTCCCATCTCCGTCCCTCTTCTGCTCTAAATCCCAAATCCCAGACTGTCACACTTAACCTCAGATATCCCGAGTTTAACCTGCTCCCCTGCAGTCCTGACCTTGCACTGTGGGAGTTGATCTCCAAAATGTCCCCACTGGCCCCCACACTCTAGCATTCCTACTTGTATGCAGTGCCCTCCCCAGTGACCAGCGCTGGCCTCGTAACCACCAAGATGCTGCAGAGATGGCAGTGGGCAGCTTCCGAGGCCAGGTCTCCAAGCTGTCGCTGCTCACAGGGTCTCTTGTGGGTCACTCATAAGACCTCCATGGATGAAGGCCACTGCCATGCTATACTACACGGCCGCTCACACAGCCTGAGAGGCATGCCTGGCCGGGCACAGAGGTGTCCTGCCCACAGCTGGATGAGTGAGCCCTCTAGAGGCAGAGCCTGTGGCTCTGGGCAATACCCGATAGGACCTCAGGAAAGGTTACTGTAAGCAGGGACCACTGGGCCCCCCGAACATCCAACCTGCCAACGTGGGGAAGAAGATAAAACACACGTTTACTGTACTAAGCTACTAGCTCCCAGGAAAACTTATTTCACAGAAATAAGAATATAATCCTCCCTTCTGGACCCCCACCCTCACCCCACCAAGCTCTCCCCATCTCCTCTCTGGTCACCTGTACTCCAAGTCCCTGACCTGTGCAAGCTGCAAGCCTTGGGACCATTGCTGCCTGCTCTCCTGCACCTGCAAGGCTCAAGCCAGCTCCACCGGCTCCACAGCGTGTACCACACATCTGCTGTAGGAATGAATGAGAACGCTCACCCCTCAGGAGGGAAAATGCTGGGAGTGGGCAGATCTCCACACAGAGGGCCAGTTTCACTCTGGCGGGGAAGTTGGTCAAGGGCAGCTGCTTTGAAAAAGGGATGAAAGCAAACAAAAATTAATAACAAAAAAAAAAGGAAAAGGGATGGAAGCTAAAATGGAGCAGTTGGTTGCCCTGACAGCTTTCCATTACAGATGTGTCTCCATTTAGCTTGGGTTCCTCTGCCTAAGACCCCATAAACACTGAAAATACGAGGGCCTGTGTGGTGGCTCAACAGACAAATCTTCTGCCTGGCACCAGCATCTCATATTGTGCCAGTTCATATCCTGGCTGCTTTATTTCCCATCTAGATCCCTGCTTGTGGCCTGGGAAAGCAGCAGAGGACAGCCCAAAGCCTTGGGATCCTGCAACAATGTGGGAGACTTGTTAGAAGCTCCTAGCTCCTGGCTTTGGATCAGGTCAGCTCAGCCCCAGCCAATGCAGCCATTTGGGAGTGAGCCAGCAGATGGAAGATCTCTGTCTTTCCTTTTCTCTGTAAATTTGCCTCTCAGATAAAAATAAGTCTTAAAAACATGGTAAGTTGAAAATGGATTTAATAAACCTAAATGGATCTAATAAGCAGCTCTGTCCTGCCCTGCCTACCTTCCATCATCCTCCAGGTGGGCAAAACCATCCCAAACAAAACCTGCTGGAGAACCAAGTGTTAGCTATCCGAGGTACTGAAGGCCCTCCCTGAAGGGAGACGCACACAGCTGCTCACAGCTCACTTCCGCACCACCAGAAAGTCAAAACACCCAAAGTCAAACCATGCATGGATGGGAGCCGCCAGCACCAACGTCATCCTACAGTTCCACATGATGGAGGCCACTGTTTACAAAACCTGAATCCAGGCAAGGTGATGTGAGTCCTAACCCTCAACAGTCAGCATTCCAAAGCCTATGCCCCCAGGCATGAATTTAACCCCAGCGCTAGAGGAAGACAACCTCAAAGGAGCACACATCCAACTACAGGGGGTGTGCTGCCGCACCCACACCAAGAGCCATCCACCAACTGCTGTCAGCAGCACCTGACCGCACATCAACCCCACGGACCTCGGCAGCCAGGCTGGCCAGCTGTCTTCTCCAGGCTTAACACAGACCACCTGCGAGAAAGGGAAGGCCCAGCCATTCCCACCCAGCTCCAGCCCCCAGACCCATGTAGCTGCTCCACCCCGTTACCATGGCGCTCGGCCTCGGAGCTCACGGGGACCCCATCCTTGTCCAGGCGTTTCTTGAATAGGTTATGTTCTACATCCAGCTGCTGCTCCCCGGCCACATCCATGGCGTCGATGCTCAGATCTGGAAGCAGGGAGTCGGGCTGAGGGTCCGTGGGGGGAACCCTAACCACGCAGGGCCTATGTCAGGGTGCAGACCCCACCACCCTCACCCCGACTCCTGGAGGCTGGAGCTGCGGGGCTTGCAGCTCCCACGCACGGAGATGTACTCACAGGCGCAAGGCATGTGCGGGAACAGCACGTCGATGTTGATCTTGAGTTTATCTCCCCGCGACTTGTCCACGTAGAGTTCGGGGTGCACCTGGGGCAGCACGGCCGCGGTCAGACTGGTACCCAACGCCCCAGAGCCCCTCAACTTCCCCCCCCCCGACCAGGTCGCGCCCCTTACCTCCGTGGTAAGGTAATACTGCAGCTCGGACAGGAACAACAATAACATGAGCAAGCCACTGACGATGGTCACTGCGAGGAGGACAGCGGGGGATCAGCAGGGCCTCCGGGGCGCTCCTCCGGCCTCCAGAAGGCCGGCCAGAGTCCAGCCAGCTCCCCTTCCCTGCAACCCCGGCCCCGCCGCTACCTACCCGTGGCACCCCCGCAGGTCTTGACCCGGAAGTCCTCCAGAGTCTTGGGATAAGCATCGAACTGCTTCAGCTTCCCCAGCGCCTCCATGGGGACCGGCCGGAAAAAGGACACCCCCGGCCCCGCCCCTGCGGCCTCCCGCTTCCGGCCCGCAGTGGCAACCACGCCCCCTTGGTCTCCTGAAGCCGGCGTAGCAGTGCGCATGCCTGACTCCACCCCCTCACGTTCTCAGAGAGGCCGCCCCGCCCACAGGGCCGTGCTGGACAGCTGGCTAGGGAGGCTGGCCGTTGAGAGCTGGGGGGCGGCTGTGGCGGTTCTCGGGTCAAGCGGCTTTCCTTGTGGCTAGAGCTGTTCCCAGAGCTTCCCAGCGGGGTCCCGGACATCCCGCCCCAATGGTTTTCAGAGCGCCAGCGGTCACTGGTTAGGAATAACTGTGTCCACCTGCTGCATGAGATCTCCCGATAACTGTGGGGCAGGTCGAGCAAGAGCGTCTCCGGCGCACAAAGCACACGTGGTTTTCATTGTTGTGTGTGGACCAGCACGCTGTCCTGGAGCAGTTGAGTAAATTGTTGGCCGTCAGGGCCAGGTACCAGCTGGACCTGGTTCTTTCCAGCTTTTTCCCACCTCACTGGAAACCAGGCAGGGCCTTTGGGGTTGGTTTTGCTTCTCGGCGCTGCTTTCTGAAATACCCGAAACCCCAGTGTGCTCCCATCTCGTGTAGCCCTGCCCTCTTGCTGCACGTGCAGTGGCCGCCCATGACCTAGAAGAACATGGTCCCCTGTGACCAAGCTGTAGTGGTTTTATTATTATAGTTTTAAGATTAATTTATACTTATTGAGTCTCCCACACAGGTGCAGGATCCCAAGGCTTTGAGCTATCCTGCACTGCTTTCCCAGGCCACTAGAAGGGAGCTAGATGGGAAGCAGGGCCACTGAGATAAGAACCGGTGCCCATATGGGATCCCGGTGCACATGCAAGGTGAAGACTTTAGCTGCTAGGCTACCACGTGGGGCCCAGATTTGTTTATTTTTAAAGCACACCAGATTATCAAGCTGTGTGGAAAAAATACTGGAGCCAAACAGAATGCCTGTTGACAGGGAGACCGTTGAATCAATCGGAGAGCACTCCTTCTGTGCTTTACAACACAGCTTTTCAGGACACATTAAATTAATTCCTGTAGGTATATTTCAAATGTATTTGTAAGGGCGGAAATGAAGATGCAGAATCACCTTGAACGCTCCAGGATCCCACATGGGCACCAGTTCTAATCCCGGCGGCCCTGCTTCCCATCCAGCTCTGTCTGTGGCCTGAGAAAGCAGTCGAGGACTGCCCAAGACTTTGGAACCCTGCACCCACATGGGAGACCTGGAGGAGGTACCTGGCTCCTGGCTTCAGATTGACTCAGCTCCAGCCATTGTGGCTGCTTGGGGAGTGAATCATTGGACGGAAGATCTTCCTCTCTGTCTCTCCTCCTCTCTGTATAGCTGCCTTTCCAATAAATATAAATAAATCTAAAAAAAAAAAGAAGTGGACTCCAACCAGTGCTCCGATGGGAGACGTCAGTGTTGCAGGTGGCAGCTTCGTAGTTTTCAGTTTGTGCCACGAGTATCAAGCACCCCCAGGTGTTAAAGGCAGAGAGCGGTCACCTTGTGAACTGACCTTGTGGTTCTGGGGCTGGGATGGAAGATGACGAATGCACCTTGTGTGTCATCCACTGGCTTGCATTTTCTTTTTGTGTCAGCACATCATAATTCATCTGAGTACCAACGCTGATGGATCAGGAAGCCCCAAGTACAAATGACCCGACTAGAAAGTTCCGTGGGCTAAGATGCCGTGCTCACTCGGGAAGGGACTTTCTCCTGCCGTCAGGGGAGAAGTGAATAGTTTCATGGTGCATTTTTGCATCAAGATAGCTCAGACTGTCCCTGCAGCCACGTGGTACTTTGCCTATGGTTCCTGTCAAATTGGAGGTGGTGAGGCAGGTGGGGGATGTCTCCTTTGTGTGTTAGACGATTCCTTGAGATCTCAACTGCTGGATCCCAAACCCCAGGGGAAAGACAGACTGAAGAAAAAGAATGTGTCTGGGCTGGTGTAGTGGTGCCCGGCTTGAGTAAATCACCTGCAGCAGTAGACACCCGTGTGAGAAACAAAAGGATGTAAACAGGAAGTGGGTGTCAGAGGAGAAGGAAGAATGAGGGACAATGTGTAGATTATGGCATCAGTTACTGGGGACAAGGTGGCACCACCGAGCTAGGCCTCAGGAAGAGATTAGGAGGCTGTGGGCAAAAATGGGAGCCCACCCGCAGGCTTGTGCATGTCAGCTGTCTCTGAGAGATCTAAGCAGAAGCCCAAGACGCTGTCGGATGTGGGATCCAGAGAGGAGCCATCACAGGTGGGCCGTATGTAGTCCTCTCTCAGCCCCTGCTCATTTATTCCAGAAATATTCGTTTCATGAACAGGAGTCCTGGACCAAAGAGATAAGGGAGTGTGTGTGGGGCAAGGCTGGCCCCACCACTGTGGATCTGCTCAGTGGAGTATGGGAGTTGGAGGACTCTTCCAGACAGGCTGCCCGGGAGCGGGTAACAGATCACAAGGTGCTTTGTGATGCCATCCAGTACATAAGTGGGATGACACCAGGCCACGCAGGACAGCCAGCTCTTCCTCCTGCTCGGAGGATATACCTGTTATCTCTGTCCTGGTACCTTCTCTCGCAGGCCCACTCTGGGTCCTCCTGGGAGAGGTGGGTAGGAGATGAGGGGTTGGAAGCATCCAAAGCTGGGGAGCCATGGATGCCGACAGGATGGGGGCAGGGGGCTGCTTGTATGTGCTGTGGCCTCAGTTCCTCATCCTTCCAGGAGGAGAGGCCGTTCTGCTGCCTGCTGTCGCCTGGGCTGGCCATGAAGCGCTGGCAGATCTTGGTCCTGTGGGTCTTTTGGGTGCTTATCTTGTGGCTGATGGCCCCATACCTGGAACTGCCACTGGAATCAACCCTCCAGAAGGAATGGACAGACCTGATACCAGGGAGTTGCTGCTGTTCTTGCTTCAGATTTGGGAAGTGTGGCTGCCCTTCTGGGACCTTCAACTGCTCCTCAGGTCACCGCACAGCTGGGCAATGGAGCTGGTTTGATACTTGCTAATGGAAGACTGTAGAGTACCTGAGGAGGACAAAAGAACATATGACCTGTGACCCTTGGGGATCTGCTCCCGTCCACTAGACTCCTTGGATCTTGTGTGTTGCTCATTTTCAGCACACATGCCTGCCCCATGTCCTGG